AATGTCTCATATACTATTTAATTATATAATTATATTGGAGTCAGCTTTGTTTAAAAACTGTTAAAACTTTAAAAACATATATTTAATTGTATTTAGATTATTATCTGATTTATAACTAAAAATTATTATTAAAAAGTAAGAATAAGACTTAGGTACAAAAGCGGTAACATGTCAAATATGTGTTTAATATACTGTTAAATTGGAACCCGCTTTCAAAATATAATTTACTAAAATATTTTCTATAATTTAAGAGTTATGTTTTCAATATATAAAAGACTTATATTTTTATATATATTAATATTTCAATACATTTTCTAACACGTGCACACCATAGATGTAAATAATCACTGCATATCCGACCCATATAACAACTAAACCTATATTGTTTAATTCTTACTTACATATTTTTAGCATACATTACGAATAACAAATGTTAACAGATATTTAATACGATATTTGATTTATGATTTGTTAATAAGTGCCATCTATCTCCATTCGCTCGTTAATTGTCAAATGAAACAGGACGCTCTGATTGGTCGGTAAACTGTTCATATGTTTTTTCGCCATTTTGTTATTTTTGAATATTGTTATTTGTCTTTCTAAGCGCAAGTGAATAAGTTTTAATTAGTAAACAGTGGATTAATTTATTAATGAATTGTGTAAAATTATAGCTGTGAGCTCTGTGCTTGTGATGTGTTTAGTGAAATTAGTTAGGAGTAGATTTTCAATATTGTCGTTTGGTAATAAAATTAAAATAAGTGTAAAGTCAAGGTGTGTGACCAGTTGAGATTGAACTATAAGAAAGGTAATGTTATCAGTTATTCGTTTTAAAAAAAGTATTATGATAGTTTTAATAAGTTAGCAGGTTGTGTTAGTATGTCGAACAGAGCATTTGAGTCACCTCCATTAAATCTTTGAATCATTTTACGGCACCAATCAACACGATAGAGTTTTTGAGCCTCAGTCAAATTATAAGGTATCCACCGGGCGCAAAGCTTCCTGACCGCTAAATGTTCGTGGAGGATTTTGTGCACTTGACTCATACCGATGCCTAAGCTTGTCCGAATCTGCTGATAGGTCACTCTTTTGTCAGTCTCTATCATACGCCGCACAACACAGATGTTATCTTCAGTCGTCGCCGTAGAAGGCCGTCCCTCACGTAAATCATCATTGAGATTAGTGCGACCACGTTTAAACTCATTAAACCAGTTGTAAACAGTTGTGAAAGGCCAATCGTAGTCTATCATAACTTTCTTGTTGACTTAAATGACATCTAAAGTCATAAAAAATCATGCACGAAAATTTTCTCGTGTTAAATTCATGTTGACGTGACACAGACAATTTTCAATTTGCCGCCAAATCGTAAAACAAATGACAAATATATGAAATATATACTCAGTAATATTGGCAAAGTATTCTATTTTCAAATTTTAGAATTATTTTTTTATTATATTGTTTATAAGTGGCCAGTTCTAAGAACTTTCAGTTTGACCCTCGTATTATAGTATTTTAGGAATACTAAATATCTATTGTTTACAATTGGATTCTTGTAAGTAACAGTGAAAATACCATAAATAGCATTCACATAATTTATATATATTTTTTAACTTTCTATGATATTTTTTTTAAACTTTCTTTGATACATCATGTATTTGTTTCCAGAGTCCGTTTCAAGAATCACCTAAAGGTGAACCATTCCTTCAGATCGAGGAGCTGTATGATCCACGATACGCGCCTTACAAATTCATCTTCAGACTCTGCTACCGTATACTGAGACTTAGTCAACAAGATTACAGGAAAAACCAAGTGAGTCATGATATTAATTCGTCTATTATACACTCACTAGCTTTCCGTCCGCAGCTTCGCCCGCGTGGAGATCGGTTATATCGCGTTTCCAAGAGAACCTTTCAAAAGTCTGGGATAAAAACTATCCTATATTCTTTCTCAGGGTCAACTCTATCTTTGTACCAAATTCCATTAAAGTCAGTTCAGTGGTTTAGGCGTGAAAGCGTAACAGACAGACAGACAGAGTTAGTTTCGCTTTATATAATATTAGCAGGGATTCAACTGAAAATGTAGCTTGGAAGACCAAAAGGTACTAATATTTTAATAAAAGATGCTTCTTAATATAATTTTTGATGCTTCTGCGAATGAGAGTTAATTATAGTTCTATGTGTTTTTCAATATGTTTTCGTTTCAGGAATACATCGCGAAGCACTTCAGCTTCATGCAGAAGCAGATCGGCTACGACATACTGGCTGAGGACACGATAACAGCACTGTTACACAACAACAGGGAGCTGTTGGAGAAACACATCACGGCCTCTGAGATAGAGACCTTTGTTGGTAAGTATACTTATTCTTCTTGGCAATTTCTCAGCCAGGGTCTGAAAAAATATACTTATTGTATATTAAATTATTATTTAAATGAAACTAACAATTTTCAGATAACTACATACTCGTTATTTTATTATTTTTAAAACTACCTACTGCCGACGTTTCTGTCACTATACTGAAAACGTGAACGCAGAGGAGATGAGAATGATTCTCATAGTTTTCTTACTAATAAAATGAGTTTATTTTCAATAATACTCTCGAAAACCTATATATGTATATACAGCACTTCCTGTATGTCGTACCAGGTCTAGTCCGTAAGAACATGAAGACCTGGACTACCTCAGTGACCTGTGCATCTCCAACAATATAAGAAAAGACATTTACAATAAATAGAAAGAATATTTTACACAGAAAAATATGAACAAGTTACAGCAATAAAAAATAAATTAAAAATAAAATTAAATTATAAACTGGTGAAGTGAGGAACTAAATAATGGATAAGAAAATAGATTTAATCACTATTATTGTCTGTTAATTGAAACCAATTGGTTTTTTTAAATAGATTTAGGTTATTGTTTAAAATGTCAATACTATTAATCAATTAATATATAACAAGCAACTATTTAATCTTTGTAAATAAAATGTGTGTTAAAAAATATAACAGCTTTTCACTAATAGAATATACTATATTGGATCATGTACTAAAATAATTATAATATCCATAGAAGTATAATAAAGGAATCATTACACAGGTTAGTGCCAGATGAGTCGAGCGACGGAGACGGTGGGGAGGTGATGCTGTACTGGAACAATAAACAGGTTCGTGTAGACATGGTATTATTGTGAGCGAGGAGAAAAAATGTTACCTTGTGTTATTAAAGATAGGACTTAAACGTTAACATCGTCAATTTTTGCCTTTATCATATTAGTTCATGCGGACATATCCGACCTAATAAAAAAACAACTCTACACCAGCATACATAATATACTTTTTTATGTTCTATCGTGACAATAAAGTACCTTTCAGTAAGAAAACATTAAAAGTGTTTTATAGAAGTATATGTAATTATATATTTTTTATTCTAACAATATAATTAAAGTTGTTTTATGAAGCCAGTACTTTTAAATCACATAACCTTAACTATTAAAAACTATTATCTTAAACCAAGACACCTTCAATAAGTTAAATTCAATATATAAATACACATGTTGCATGGACAAATATTTTCCCGCGTCAAATTGAACAAACCAAATGTTATTGCTTAAGGTCACTGGGTGCGTTCAGGAATTTAAAGCTTTGGTTCGAATTAAATGTTTGTTCCCTAAATATATATCATTTTTCAGGAGTGTCGGTCACTGAACTCATTGGCTGAACAAGCCTCAGATCCTCGTAGTGATTTTGGATTACTACCGACACCAACTCGATCTGTTCTCGAACATGTGTCTCAACAGACAGTACCTGGCATTGAACAGTCTATCACATTGATCTTATACTCGATTAGTTAAATCATTCCTTCAGAAATATGTATGTTCATATGGTTTAGAATTATTGATAGTAATTTTTAGTTTCCTTCGTCAGTACTTAAAAGTAACAATACATTTTATTAAATAATAACGACTTTTTAATCACTCGAAAAGTGTACTTTGATACGATATTTTATTGATTAACGATTCTGATAAAGAGCTGATTTACCCAAACAAAATATAGTTTTTGTCATAAACGTCGTAAGCATAGCGAAAACTACGAAGTATCTCTAAAATGTAGAAATATCTTTGTGACCAAAATAATAAAATTATTACCTATTTCAGATAACAAAATGAAGAATAAAAAGTCACACTCGTTGTGATCCATGTGTTAATAGTCCACGATGCTAACTAATATAACATTTAAATGAAACGTCGAGATAACATAAAATACGTTTAGTACATCCGAAAATATTAGTGCCATTTAACTCTCTAAAGCCTCAGATATCATGAACCACTATAACTTGATCTCCAGATGCATGTCCAACCCCGTGTTGTCTCACGAGGTCCGCGCGTCCTTCTGCCGCCTCATGCTGCACCTGCACGTGGACCGCGACCCTCAGGAGCCAGTCACGCCCGTCAAGTACGCGAGGCTGTGGGCAGAGGTCGCCGCCACCATACGATTGAACGAGTCGGTACACACACACACAAACACACATATCAACATTAACACATACATGCAAACACCCCGCATGTTAAAAGACCAGTGATGTTGTGCTAATTTGTCTTTTACTGGAATGCGTATAGTAAAGTCACCAGTCATGGACAGTACAAGCGATATTTTTAGAGATTTGCTTTGTAACTTCTTCATTTTTCAATATATATTCTTTGGCATTAGAAGGTAAATAAAAAGCTTTTTTTCCAATCAGTATTCAATGTTTAATTTTAGTTTGGTACTCAGTACAATAAAATATTGTAAATAAACTACACCCCTACTTAGACACCATTAATGGACAGATATAATCCAGTATAGGACACCCAATCATGGACATAATCTAAATATGAACAGCCATCAATGGACAGTAATAATCCGGCGTAGGGCACCTAAATACGAACAGCTAATTATTGAAATATAAATAATCAAATAAGTAAAGAAAAAGTATAAATTATTCGAGACTTGTAATGACGGTTCTGTGGTAGATGCGTCAACTCTATAAGGTAAATTGTCATTCAAATAGTGTTTACTTTTAGCCCAAATGGTATATAACGACAGAATTTCATTCGGAAGCAGGTTCTCAACTTTGGCTCTGGGTGTATAGTACAGTCTGGGTAGTAAATTTCATTTTTCATTTGTAAATACACTTCGGATTTCTGATTCTAAAGTTCATAAATTCATAAACTGTTTTGTCATGTTAATTTTCTTTTCTATTGCTGATGTGGAAACAGTTGCACGATTTTGTGAGCTTATTTTGGTCATATCCACATACTCTGGACCAAAGGGAAAAAGCCCACTCTTAAGAAATCCGTTTCTTATGGTGTCTGTCGAAATATTTTGTAAAGCTGTCTCAAAATTTGGAGCAAAATGCTCTCTTTTCATTGTTTGATTCGGATTGCCCATTTTCCAACCCTTCACCTGATTCTGCCATGCTACCTTTAAAGGCCTAAACACCGCAACTTCCATCGGCTGAAGCAGATGAGTCGAGTTCGGGTAGAGAGAGATAACTTCAATCATATTATTTTTACAGAAATCTGACAGATGCAGTGTCATGTGTGATCTATGGCCGTCCAAGAATCATTTAACTGGTTTAGGTATATTTTGTGAACGGACAGGAATCTAACTTTTTCTCAAATATAATTTTTTGGACACTATCAAGCAATTGTTCTTTGTTGACAGGAAAATGTTTTTCACCCATAAATGTTATCCATTTTACGAGTTTCCTTTCTTCTTCGTAGGTGAGTACCGTAGCTGGACCTAGATTACAATCAATTGGACTTTTCCCGGTAATTTTATTATGTAATGTTATCCTTAGGACTCCGTATCTTGTAGCGGCAACAGATATTTTCTCTCCTTACTTCTCCGATAGCCTTGGCCATCTGTTCTTTTGTGTAGTCTTTCCTAGGTGCCATTTCTGGTTGGAAAAAAAGATTTGTTTGTATTAAAAATATGTTGAACCTATTACAGACATCCAGTCATGGACACTTTATGGACACTCTGTCCATGATTGGATGTATGTGCTTGAATAGTATCCAGTTATGGACACCGGCAATTCAAAGGTTTAAATCACAATGACATTTTGTGTTATATTATAAAATAAATGTACTACTATTGATAAATCACTAAATAAAAACAATTTCGACAATGACGATACACCTGACACATAACAAGACGATAACTGTACTTACTCGCAACACGATTCTTCTAATAAATTACGATTCCCGGCACCAACTGCCGCCGCGCAATAAAAAACCTATATGGCCACCATCCAAATGGATGTAGGCTGACAAAAAGAGTTGGTATGACAACTATAGAGTTGACTCAACAGACCCGTGTTGTCATTTGAAATAAAATTCTGCGTCTTTGCTTAATTTTGGAGGCAAAGTCAAAAATTGTCCATGACTGGTCCGCGTCCAACATAGGTGCCTTTACAGGGTGACTGGTGAATTACTATCAATATTTAAGGAGAATACTAGTAATTCACCAGTCACCCTGTATAAAAGCGGGGGAGGAGGATTTCTCCTAATTTCAGTCCGTGGCCAGGATCGGCCCTATATAAAAGAAAGGAAACGAAAATCCTTACGAAACCCATTATGTGTGTACAAAAACCTGCAATTTTTTTTAATAAGTTAGCTGATTCAACCATCTGAATCGTCAGAATTTAACCATCTTTAATTCCGGAACGCGTTCCCGTCCAAAAAGGAAGTACCGGATTATGTTCTAGAGCATTCCAGCTGAACAACACCACTGAGAATGACACTCACACATTCACACATACACGGCACACACAATGACACTACGATAAAATATAAATACATGTATGATATCAATTATTTTCTTTACATTAATCATCATTAATTAATTCTGCCACAGCTATCAATGCGTGAAAGGCGGTCAGGACGCGACCAGGGAAAAAGTGAAGAAGCAGTTCGAGTCCACCATAGACTTCGTTGGGGACTACTTGTGTAAAGACGTGACTAGGACGTGGTACTTGAGCGACCACGACCAGAACAAGTTGATCTTTGAGGTCGTTAAAATGGCTAGAGAATTAATTTACTTTGGGTTTTATAGGTAAGATATTGATGTGTAGTTAAACAAATTCATATAAATATTTTTTTCAATAAACTGACTTCTACTTTATATATATGTTTTAGTCTCCGTGATGATAGTACTCACGCTAAGAAATACTAGTAATGTGTTTAAATACATATTGATATCGAAAAACTATTACTTTGCTTATCTATATAAGCTCTTGCTCTATAGCAAGATAATGTTAGTGAAAACACAATTAAGAGAGGCTATAGTTTATGAGCTGTTAATATTGTGCAGATGATTATATTAAATAATTATGACACCATGATTTCTTTAGTTCACTTCATTTGTCTATAAATCTATATTTTTCAATAAATAATATAAATTTGTCCATAATTTTCTAATTTAACACAGCTTCAGCGATCTTCTTCGGCTGACGAAAAGCTTATTAAGTATTCTTGACTGTGTGACTGCGATCGATCTACTGAACGAAACGAACGCCTTCGCCGGAGAGGTGGAATGTGAGTTATATTAAATATAAACTAAACAAGATATGTAAACATAGGTTATTTAGAAACATGTACGTACATCCTAAAAGATATATGTAAAACATTAAAAAAGTTAATTAATATGTTTATTGTATAATATTCAATTTATGTTTATTTTAAAAACTTAATGTTACACGCAGCTGAGGAAAATGAAAAGAAAATATGTATGTGAGTAGTATAGTGCAGAATAACTTTAGAAAATTATTACACATACTTGGCCTGGCCAAAAATATTGTTATATTTTAAATTTGGAATCTGTCATCTTTTGCCCGCCAATTTATGTAAAATATTTTTTAATATTAAAATAAGGATATACAGAAAACTGAATGCCTGTTAGTTTTATATAAAGTAGCCATGGAACCAAATACATTTTGTTAAAATCTAACTTCTAATCGTTATATTGAGGTAGTACATAGCAATGTATATATTTATGTCAGACCAATATTTATATATTTGTTGTAGCGGAGGGGGGAGTTCTCCGGAGTATTGGCGACATGGGAGCAGTCTTGACCTCCATCACACTCGGACCTGGAGCATTAAATGTATATATAACAGAAAACACATAAAAACTATATTAAAGTCAGAACCAATTACTAATATATAACTCCAATAATATTCACTTAGTTTGAAAGTACTGTAAGAACAAAAAATATCTGCATTTTTGTCCAGAATACTCCCTAAAAAACTTGTTTTTTACTGAGATTTAGAATTATTTAGTCGATTTATATATAGGAATGTATGTTGTTATTTAGAAAAAATATGTTTTTAAATGTTGATTATACTATAAAGGATAAATCAAGACTTAGTATATGCAATCGAAATAATCAAAATGTATGTTCTATTAGCAGGTGGTGGGCGGAGGGCCGGCGAGGAGCCCGTCAGCCTTGACCCTGGCTCGGAAACATCCACTGGTGATGGAGACCAAGATGAAGTTTATAGAAATACTGCAGGTACCATACTAATAACAGTTTTGGAGATATTACAACAACCGACACACATACTCAAAGCAAACGCACTCTTAACTATTTATTTATTTTCTTTGAAAAACACTTAACGATGCAATTTACAGTAAACGTGTACGTCCACACTAGGCTAGGCCTGTATCGTGGAAAGTTATACTCTAATTCTTAATTATATTTATATAGATACTGATCTAAATGTTTGAATGAAACTATCTTTTCTTATGATGAAATTAAGTGTAGTAAAACGAAAATATTGGTTTATTTAAATGAATATTCACGAAAGTCTTAGATCTCAGTATGATTAAAAGGTTCTTCAGAAATTTGTATTGTACGGCTAAACTAACAGTTCTTGGAAAGTATGTACTGTTTTACAAGTTTAAGAAAAACGTTTCTTCAGCTCGATACTACTATTATACTGACCAAAATAATACATTACTATGAAAGTGACCCAATATATACAAGAAATGTTCCCCACAGTTTATCCTGGACGTTCGTGTGGACTACCGCATCAGCTGCCTGCTGTCGATCTTCAAGAAGGCCTCCGAGACTCGAGTGGACGTGGAGGCCATAGGGTTACAGGCCGAGGGGATCTTCAGCTGTCGGTATGACACACACACACATACATACACACACACAGACACACACAGACAACATACATACAACATATCAACACCGACTAGGCGAGATACAAATACAAAGATCATTGTATATGAAAGTCATTCAAATTTAATTTTTACTCTAACATGTATAAATTTAATCACATACATATGTGATTTTAGTCAGTCCAGTATCATTATATTAAAATGTTTATAAAATTTATCTCGTTTCGTTGGCAATGTCCACACGTGGTGTTATATAATTTCATGTAGATGTCGGTTGTACTATTGTTACTAATCGGTGGCGGGTTGATAGTAACATGCGGTCTGTAGAATTTTTTTTCAACTATTTCTTATTAGTACTACTTTTATAAGTATTTATTACGAACACTTCTTGCTTCTATTTAACAATTACATATTAATCAGTAAATTTCTTTCTATTAGATTCATTTGAATACACCAAATTTTTACTATTTTTCGTTTTCACACTAAATAAATTACCATTAGCTCTAAATTATCTTTCATAGGTTTATCTACAACGTGTAACATAATTAACGCACACCCTGAAAGTAGTTTGTTCAGAATCGGTGTCTGGATCGATTTTCATAGTATTTTATGTAGGTCATTTTTTTTCTCAAATTTAGATAGAACTAAGTAAATTACAGTCATCCTACGCACGCAACACCAACAGCGACAGTCGGCACACATCAAATACCTACGCACGTGTCCATTGACCTCCTAGATCAGCTGATTTGACGCCACTCGACTTTTTTGTGGGGGTAAATTAAATCGCTAGTTTATAACACAGACAACAAGTTTCGAGGAACTAGAAACTAAGATAATAACCGCCGTTGTAAAAGTGAAAAGTAACACTGCAGTATTATCTAAAATAAAACCACAATTTCGGAAACGGTCATTAAAGTTGATTGAACAAGGCGGTGGACATTTTGAAAATGTTTTAAAACGACAACGCCGTGCGAGTGCAAATTAAACTGTAAGTTTGTTTATGATCTTTAAATTATTGTTAATATTTTGATTCACACATATTTGTGGTGTCTAATCAAATCACGCGTTATCAGCTGTTTAATAATTCTTATTTACAAATTTAATTTAACAAATCAGTAATTATAAAATATTGGCTTCACATTAAAAAAAAAATCAATGTCGACAATCTTAAGCCCGAAAAATGTGATGGAAAGAAGAATCATAAATCATAATGTAGTTATTTCGTGTACTTATTATTACCTACTTCTTATTATTGTCGGACGGCACTCGGAGAGAGGGGCGCGGGCGCGGCGAGTACATTGTGTCTGTCTGTGTGTGCGTGTGTAGCGGAGTGTTGGTGAATAGCTGACCATATTATTTGCACGAAATTGGGATAACTAATTTCACAAATAAAAAATGCTAACGCACATATAAATAATATTTGGTGTATGCATTGCGTTTACATTATTATATTCTAATTGGGGTGTTTGAGAGTGTGCGATAATTACGTTACACGTTGTATAATTGGGAATTAAAATCGTAGAAAGCACTTTGAGATAAGAAAAACCATTTAATTCTTATGTCGTCATACTGGCGATTGGTATTAATAAATTAATAATAATTATTTCAGAGCCATGCAGACTGTGCCTGACAACTGTCTTCCAAAAAATGTAGATTTGTTAGTAAGATTGAAATCTATTGCATGATGCATGATGAAAGTAGCGCTATTAACCGCATGGATGAAGCTATGATTTCTTTACTTATATGTATTTCTGTATTTCCTTATTCGAACAAAAAGGTATTGAATATTTTCCATTACATGGTTCTGAAATACATTTCGAACAATTAAGGAAATGTTAGAATAAAATAGTTTGTATGTTACGCATGCTTTGTCCCAAGAAGATTTAATATTTTTTGCGAGGAATAAAATCCTCATTACTAGGACTAACTAGTGTTACCTCTCCAACCGCAGCAAGCGATATTATACTTTACAGCTATTACAATAAAATCGAAATCCTATTATCGGAAAGATTTAAGTTATTATAAAGTGTTTTCTGTATTATTCTAACCTTTGTTTATTTTGATTAAGAAAAATCCGTTACCCGAAAAGGGATTCTTTTTTAGGCATAACGCTTATAATCCTATTGTGATTTGTGATTTTCTCATATGATATTATATTTTAAACCTTAACATTGAAACAAGAAGGTTTAAATTTCAGTGACGGTTTAGACTTGGATGCTTGCGGCAGTCGTATGGTGTTGAGGGTTCTGCTGCAGCTGTGTTCCCAGGGTGCTTCGGCCAGTCTCGTTTCAGGAGCCCTAGGGCTGCTATTCCGTCATTTTAGTCAGAGACAAGAAGTTTTGTCGGCTTTTAAGCAGGTCCGCTTTATAAAATAACTAGCTGCGCCCCGCGGTATTACCCGCAGATTTCCGGGATGTAAAGTAGCCTATGTGTTATTCCTGGACGTCAGCTTCCTGTATACAAAATTTTATCAAAATCGGTTCATCTGTTTTAGCGTGAAGAAGTAACAAACATAAACACAGACTCACAAACTTTCGCAATTATAATATTAGTATTAGTATTATATCAACATACCTTAGCATATTAAATATTTTACAAGATAACTCATAAATACAAGTAATGAAGTCAACAAAAAGAGATCCTACGTAGTTTCTCTTTATATCTGTGAGATTTTAATGTAATCTTTGTAGACTATAATATATTTATCATTATATTCCGTTCAGGTCCAACTGTCAGTGTCTGACGCGGACGTGGAGTCCTACAAACAGATCAAGGCCGACCTCGACATACTGAGACAGAGCGTTGAGAAGCCGGAGCTGTGGGTGTTCAATAAGGGACGCGCCGGGATTATAGACGATCACAGCGGTGAGAATTTAATATAGTTATCAAATTAGTAAATTTAAAATTTCACCTCTTTCGAATTGTCTTGCATATACCGGCAAAAATTATTCCATATACATATATGATCTGCAGTTCTAAGATATTTTATAAATTTTCTATACCTAAAACATAACATAAAAAACAAACATTCATTCATACATCATGAAATAGTGGTATCTACATACTTAGGACTGTATAACTTGTAGATAATTATTAGTATCACCTGTAGATGATGAAAGAATATTGTTCAAAAAATATATAAATATTATTAAACATATATAAATCAATACTTTTCTAGATATAAAAGGCGCTGCTGGTCCTGGCGGGGCGGTGTTGGAGCGAAACGCGTCCTTAGACAACGTGCGAGCACCCAGAGGAGATCGACAGGAATACGATAAGATTAAGGCGGTACAAAAAAAATATTGCATTTATATCAATCTTCTACCCGGCAATTTCCCAGCTTTTAGCCAGGGTCTGCCTTACATGTTGTGAATAGTTTTGGCTAATTGTTTTTACGACCGGCCGCCTGCCTGACATCAACTCTCTTTGGGAATGCATTAATCAGTGACGTCTAGATACTCTTAGAAAGTACATATGACTCGGAAAAATCACATTGGTACTTGCCAGGGCCAGGATCGAACCCGCGCCCTCATGCATGAGAGGCGGGCCTTTTAACCACTAGGCCACTTAAGTCAGTAGTTGACTTAAGTTGCATTTATATCAATGTTTCATCTAAATTGGCGCTTCAGTCTCTCAGTCACTACAAATGATAAGTTGATGTAAAAATTTATTCGTCAACTTTAATAAATACTCAGTAGCACAGTCGACATAGTGACTTGGATACCGTATCGAACAAGTTATAAGTTCAAATTTGATGGATCCCAGTAATTTTATTATAACATAATATCGTTAATTCATAATTGGTAATACAGAACTTCCAGTTGTTTTTGTTGATAATACATAAGATATTAAATAATTTTTTTTAATTTTTATTTAATTATAACTTAAATTCAACAGGTTGACAATAAGTTTTATTTTTTTGTTTTGCGTGAATGTTGTCTACATCTGTAATTGTCACTCATATCAGGTCCTAGATTTTTTTTCTTTTATATCTATGTTTATGTGTGCCGAATATGTGTGATGTTAATGTACCTTTTAAATAAATAAATTTAAACTTTTGCAACTATATCTACAGAAAATAACTATTTAACTTTTTAATAATGAAATAAAACATTGAATTGGTGGCACACACTTTACTGCTTCCACATAGACTGACAACTGTCTCAAACATTATTCATCAACCTACTATATGAATATGTTACAAACACTATAATTGTATAAAACAGATCCTGGAACGTATGATCAAGTACTGCACCCAGGGCAACACGGCGAGGGAGGGGGGTGACTCAAGACCGCGCAGACACGAACAGAGGCTGCTGAGGAATATAGGAGTACATAATGTAGTGCTGGACCTACTGCAGGTGGGTGGAGGAACAGTTAAAACAATATATCGATACGAGCAGGATTTAAACCCTATATATATGTGTGTATGTATATATATCACAAATGTAAAACAGTATTCTCAAGGGTGGCAGGTTTGATTACTAGTCACGTCAATAATAGTTCTTTCTATTTGGTCTTCAATACAAATCTTAGCTCCTTGCTGTAATAATAAAACCAATAATACTAAAATGCTGAAGTGCAGGAAAAGTAAATGTTATTACTTTTTTAAGTTTTTTCTTTATCTTCCCACTTAAAAGCCATTGTTGCTTTTACAAAACTGTTTCCCGAAATATGCTATACCTACACTCATGATATAGGTGTAAATCATTTAAGATCTACGTTTATTATCTACAAAGCAAAAAAAGGGAAGAATAATTTTCTGCTGTATGTTATAAATATATTCTGTAATCAATTATTGTCCAGGTTCCACACGATGAGGACGACGCTGCTATGGTCGAGCTCCTGGACCTTGCGCACGAGTTCCTCCAGCACTTCTGTCACGGGAACACACAGAACCAGGCCATACTACACAAACACCTGGATCTGTTCCTCAACGCTGGAGTAAGAACAGACTATTGAATATGAACAATTGTACTGTAATTTTGTTTAATATCGTATTTTATTATAATTATTATTATAATTACTTGGTATTTTTTACATATATGTCTAAGTTTTCACAGTGTCTCATAAATCAATATGTATTGGTTTTTTCGTACACTGGAATTCATCGTCGTTAACTCACAGTTACTTTGACATTTCAATACATTTATATTTTATACTTATTGTATTAAACAATAAGAGAAATAAAAGAAATCAAGTCAATAATATAATGATACGTGTACGTGTGTGAAATAGTATAAAGTGCACAATCTAACAAATAAGTAACATATGCAAGGTAAATGTAACCTGATTATTATTATATATATACCATAGCGCTAAATTATTGTTTTACAATTATAGTATAGCCAGCAATCAAAGCACGACGATAGTTTTATTCAGACAACTTTTTACATCAGATCCGCGAAGCCCAGATCGTGTGCTCGACATTCGAAGAGAACACAGCTCTGTGCGCTCACGAAGGGAACGAGAAGGTAGCTGCGCACTTCGTACACTGCATCGAGTCCCGCGGACGAAGACCCGCCTACCTCAAGTTCCTGAGGACCATAGTGCGAGCGGGACCACACCACATACGGAGGAGCCAGGACCTGGTCATGCAAGAAGTAAGTTCCTCTCCCTTCACCCATCATAGCATGCATGGTTTTGTAGCAGCACGTACACGAAGTAATAACAATAGTTTATTTATTTATAAAGACGTTCTCGTCGATGGATTTGGCGACGTTTTCATCGTTGAAACAGAAGCACATATTAATAACAATAGTATATTTATAAAGACGTTCACATCGCTGGATTTGGTGACGTTTTCATCGTTGAAACAGGTACACATACTAATAATAATAGTGTATTTATAAAGACGTTCTCATCGCTGGATTTGGTGACGCTTTCATCGTTGAAACAGGTACACATATTAATAATAATAGTGTATTTATAAAGACGTTCTCGCCGCTGGATTTGGTGACGCTTCATCGTTGAAACAGGAACACACTGATGACACGATGCCGGCCTCTCACCACGACGTAGTCTTCTTCTTCTTCAGTTGGCAGCGTTTTCAAGATGTTGTCACTCCCCGGCGCGCGCGATCCAAAAGACCGATGCGCTCGCTGGAGTGACAGATATAACCACGGTTAACGCATGCGCAGTGATACCGATTAAACGCATGCGCATTAAAGACGAAACCGTATGCGCGGCGACCAATCAAAACGCCTGTTTTAATGTGCTGGTTATTCATATTCTATATGTAATCAATTTTCTAGTATAAATAACTGTAAATATTTTCAATAAAACATTCCTTGAACAAGTGAAAAGTCTATTATTCTCTCCATACGTCTCAACGCTTAAAGTGGTGACCCTCGACAGAACACGAAGAAACTTCTGAAGAAAAGGAATCCGGACAAATCCCTGCCCGAAAAATCATTCAAATATGGAAACCCAGCCACCTCAAGCTCTCGCCAGCTCTCAAGCCGCCGCCAACCAATTACTTATTAATGCAGTAAGGAAACTAAAACTCGAAGTAGCAGAATTAAAGGCACGACCGGCATACAACAACTTCAAACATCGGAGAGATCACTCCCGAAGCCGTCAACGCAGATTATCAACACATCGCAGTCGTCACAATTCGCCATCTCCACTGTGTTACTATCACCGCCGCTTCGGTAGTCAAGCCCGACGGTGTACTACGCCGTGTAGTTATACTAAAGACCACACGAAGTCGGAAAACTAGACCGAACGTTGGCAGAGGCGAAATCCGGCGTTCAGAAATCACACCGCCTGTTCGTTACCGATAAAAAAACGAACTACTCTTTCTTAGACACGGGAGCCAATATCTCCGTACTACCTCGAAAACCAGGCCAGAAATCGACGCCGCTACCTTTCAAATTATATGCCGCCAACAACACGGTAATATCAACGTATGGAGAACGAACGCTCGAACTCGATATAAATCTACGACGACCGTACAAGTGGAAATTTATAGTTGCCGATGTATCGAAGCCTATATTAGGAGCCGATTTTTTAAACTATCACCAACTCATCGTTGATATCAAGAATCGAAGATTAATCGACGCCGTAACGAATTTACGAGTAAACGTGCCGATTAAATCAACTACTACACCCACCATAAGAAGCATCGACATAAGCGACGCGTACCACGACATACTAGCTGAATTCCCCGGTATAACACGACTTACCGCAATGAAGCTGGGAACTAAAATCAACGTCGAACATTATATCGAAACTACGGGACCTCCGATCCACTGCCGAGCACGACCTATACCGCCGCATCGTTACGAAACCGTTAAGAAAGAATTTGAGAATATGACGCAACAAGGACTCTGTCGTCCTAGTAAAAGCGCATGGTCATCGCCACTTCATATTGTACCTAAAAAGAATGGGGATATAAGAGTGTGCGGTGACTATCGACGACTCAACGCGATAACGAAACCCGATCGCTACCCAGTACCGAGAGTCAAGGACTTCACACATCATCTCTCAGGTAAAACCATATTTTCAACCGCCGATCTCAACCGCGCTTACCAACAACTTGAGGTCCGCGCTGAAGACATTGAGAAGACAGCAATCATAACACCAATGGGTTTATTCGAATTCCCTCGAATGTGTCCCGGTCTGAAGAATGCCGGACAAACTTTTCAACGATATATTCACGAAGTACTCCGAGGACTCGATTATGTATTCCCTTTCATTGATGACGTTTTGATAGCTTCAGCTAACGAAACTGAACATCGAGAACACCTCCGAACTGTACTCACACGATTTCAAGAGCACGGTATCACTATAAACCCCGCGAAATGTAATTTCGGAAAACAGCAAGTCAAATTCCTAGGATACATGGTATCGGAACAAGGCATCAAACCACCCGATGATAAAGTAAAGGCTATCGTCAACTATACGAAACCGAAAACAGTTGAAGAACTACGACGCTTCCTAGGAATGTTAAACTTCTATAGAGATCATATTCCAAACGCCGCCACTATACAAGCTCCGCTAAATTCATATCTACACAACGTTAAGAAGCGCGATAAAACTATAATCGAGTGGACCGACGAAGCAACGCAAGCATTCGAAGCATGTAAAGTTAGCATCAGTAACGCGACTTTACTCGCTCACCCGTCCCACGAAGCAACACTCGCAATATTCAGTGACGCCTCAGACAACGCCGCCGGAGCCGTACTACAACAGTACATACATAATACATGGCAGCCCCTCGGTTATTTCTCAAAGAAATTCTCAGACGCTCAGAAAAAATACTCAACATACGATCGTGAATTACTTGCTATATATATGGCAGTAAAACACTTTAGGAAAATATTTGAAGGTAGACCACTCATAATATTCACCGACCACAAGCCACTCACGTTTGCTATGAACAAAACATCAACAAACAACGAGACGCCGCGACGAACAAGACAATTATTATTCATTAGTGAATTTACAACCGACATACGTCACGTAAGTGGGAAACAAAACATCGTCGCCGACGCTTTAAGTCGTGTCGAAACTATATCCTGCCCGTCTACAATAAATTATGAAGAAATAGCCTCAGCACAACGAAGTGACAACAACATTCAACATTTACTTCAACAAACCAACCTATCATTCAAAAGGGTAAATATTCCTAATACAGATATAGAATTACTTTGTGAAACATCAACATCATTCATACGACCTTACATACCTACCGATCATCGTAAAGAAGTTTTTAACAACATACATAATATCAGTCATCCCGGAACTCGAACAACAAGGAAATTAATAACAAGAAAATACTTTTGGCCGTCGATGAATAAAGACATCGCAACGTGGACTAAAAATTGCATTCAATGTCAGAAGAGCAAAATACAACGTCATACACACAGCAAAATAAATTCGTTCCCGCCAACCGACCGCTTTCAACACGTGCACGTAGATATCGTCGGACCGTTACCTACAACAGCTCAATGTTACCGATATTTAATAACCATGATCGATCGACATACGAAATGGCCCGAAGCGATACCTACCATCGATATATCCGCCGAAACAGTTGCAGAATAAATATACAACAACTGGATAAGTCGATTCGGATGCCCCGCTACTATAACAAGTGATCAAGGCCGACAGTTTGAAAGTCAAATATTTAAAAACTTAATGAAAATACTCGGAATACAAAGAATACGAACTACGCCTTATCATCCACAAAGCAACGGAATGATTGAACGATGGCATTGTTCATTGAAGAACGCATTACGCGCCAAACTATCCGATACAACGTCATGGATCAATGAGTTACCTACTATACTACTCGGGTTAAGAGCCGTCGTACGCACCGATAACAACGTAAGCGCATCCGAACTTACCTACGGCTATAACTTAAGACTCCCAGGTGATTTCCTAGACACAAATAAAACAACAGACTCAGCATCATTAAATTATAATTACGTCGAAAAATTACGAGAAAATATACAGAAACATAAACCATTACCGAACTCGCAACGAAACAATAAACACATTTTCGTACATCAAGACCTACGAACATGTCCGTACGTGTTTATTCGAGTCGACGCAGTCAAATCACCGCTTCAAACACCCTATGAAGGCCCCTTTCGAGTTGTAAACAGAACAGATAAAGTCTTTACAATTCAATTACCCGATCGTCAAACATGCATCTCAATTGATCGACTGAAGCCTGCATATGTGTTAAATACCGAAAATTCAGATTTACCTCAAACCAAGAAAACCATTACAAATGATACCAGAGTTACCATCAAAACCTTACCAATGGAAAAATCAGCTGATACGAACAACATGACGTCACAGCCTACTCGTATATCAACTCGACTAGGCCGCTTAGTACGAGATCCGGCTGCAGAATCAGTGTACCCATCGAGTGTTTGCTGAAAACCAAATTTTTACACATATTCATGATTAGGAGAATTTATATCCACCAGGTTGCCTATCAAAAAGTGGCCGCTAGTATTTTTAATTAAATTATTAATAATTCATAATCCGTAAGAAATTTCATTGACTTTTTTTTTCAATGAAATGTCGTCTACTTTACGGCAACATCTATAAAGACTCTGAAAAATTATGGTTGCCGTTGCGCACCTGGCCGCACCTCTTCGCAGCCAGGTATACACAGGTATGAATTTGTTTCATTTATACACCCACAACGTACATTTATAATTTATATATCAAATTAAAGCAAATTTTTTTCTGTATATTATTATATACGGTTGCTTAATTAAATCTGGCCGCCAATAAGGGTTGCTGGCTAATAAATATAGTAAATATTAAAAGTAAATATTAAATATTAAATCTTTTTAATTTATTAAATATTATTAAATAGTAAATATTAAATCTTTTTTCATACAGTACTTGTACAACACAATTTTTTTACATAAGTAACCTTGATTTAATTTATCATCAATATTCATTTTTTTTTTGTAATTTTTAAATTTGTCATTGACTTTTTAATTTTTTATTTTAGAAAAGAAAGACGTTTCTTTTGGAGTATTTATTATTTTGAGTCGTACCTACTATTGTTTGAATCGGAGGTTGAGAACACTAACATCTGACGCATGCGCAGTGGCTTTAAACCGTCCGACAGCTGGCAATCGCTATCCTCGTCTGACTAGTGGTGTTACGCGCTAGCTCTCTTTCACTCTACTTTTAATATTTACTATATTTATTAGCCAGCAACCCTTATTGGCGGCCAGATTTAATTAAGCAACCGTATATAATAATATACAGAAAAAAATTTGCTTTAATTTGATATATAAATTATAAATGTACGTTGTGGGTGTATAAATGTAACAAATTCATACCTGTGTATACCTGGCTGCGAAGAGGTGCGGCCAGGTGCGCAACGGCAACCATAATTTTTCAGAGTCTTTATAGATGTTGCCGTAAAGTAGACGACATTTCATTGAAAAAAAAAGACAATGAAATTTCTTACGGATTATGAATTATTAATAATTCAATTAAAAATACTAGCGGCCACTTTTTGATAGGCAACCTGGTGGATATAAATTCTCCTAATCATGAATATGTGTAAAAATTTGGTTTTCAGCAAACACTCGATGGGTACACTGATTCTGCAGCCGGATCTTAGACTAGCTCCATCAAGTTGCCGGTACGTTTCACTTGAGGGGGATTACTGTAGCAGCACGTACACGAAGTAATAACAATAGTTTATTTATTTATAAAGACGTTCTCGTTGATGGATTTGGCGACGCTTTCATCGTTGAAACGGAAGCACATATTAATAAGAATAGTATATTTATAAAGACGTTCACATCGCTGGATTTGGTGACGTTTTCATCGTTGAAACAGGTACACATATTAATAATAATAGTGTATTTATAAAGACGTTCTCGCCGCTGGATTTGGTGACGCTTTCATCGTTGAAACAGGTACACATATTAATAACAATAGTGTATTTATAAAGACGTTCTCGCCGCTGGATTTGGTGACGCTTCATCGTTGAAACAGGAACACACTGATGACACGATGCCGGCCTCTCACCACGACGTAGTCTTCTTCTTCTTCAGTTGGCAGCGTTTTCAAGATGTTGTCACTCCCCGGCGCGCGCGATCCAAAAGACCGATGCGCTCGCTGGAGTGACAGATATAACCACGGTTAACGCATGCGCAGTGATACCGATTAAACGCATGCGCATTAAAGACGAAACCGTTGCGCGGCGACCAATCAAAACGCCTGTTTTAATGTGCTGGTTATTCATATTCTATATGTAATCAATTTTCTAGTATAAATAACTGTAAATATTTTCAATAAAACATTCCTTGAACAAGTGAAAAGTCTATTATTCTCTCCATACGTCTCCACGCTTAAAGTTTTAAAAGACGAAACCTCTTAAAATTCCATGATTTCACGTGGTAGCGAGTCTATCGTTGTAGTGAAAGGAGCTTTTCTTAGGACTTGTGACCCAGGTGTAGGTTTAAGAGGTTCCTATCGAATGCGCATTAAACGCTCACCTCCATTTTTAAAGCTCCTCTATCAAATATTACCTAACATAAAATTCTATTTTCAGTAATATAGTTATGTTATATCACATGCTTATGTCGTCAATGTATTATGTAAACATGAATTTTTCTCTGTTGTTCAATAATAAATCTATCTTCGTTAATAAATATCTATTCTATCATTTGAGTTCATGAATGGAAACTCGGAAGCGCTCAGTATTTAGTTAAACGACGCATACTTGTACTAAGGTACATATAATACATATATTTAATCGTACTTCATATTTCATTATACAGGGTGACTGGTGAATTACTATCGATATTTGAGGACGTGATATTTGACGATCATATATGACAAAATAAAAATTAATATAACATAAATATTAATAAACTTCTAAGTAAAGTTAACCTAAAGTTATGTAATTAATTACGCATCGTGTGAACACCCTACAGATTAGGTATACACTGACACTCACACATACGCGTGTCGTGACGTGGTGTTGTATCAGCACGCCGCCGCACGCGTCCACACTTGAACATTTGGAACGTGTCAACACTTTATTTATTTATACGGAAATTTTGTCAAAAATTAAGTGCCTATTTTTTTTACATAATTCGAATGAGAATCATGTACCGAGTATTCTCCTTAAATATTGATAGTAATTCACCAGTCACCCTGTAGATGGTGAATGCCGGCGAGGACGTGCTGGTGTTCTACAATGATAAAGTACTCTTCAACTACTTCATCAAAATGATGAGGGAGTACAAACAGACGGGAGAGATGCCTGAAGCTCTCACGTAATATATATACCATTATATGATCATTTCAAAATTTATATTCTTGCTCTGGCATTTAATAAGGATTTAAAATAATTATGCATTAATTACGAAAAGTGTGAAAACAAAATTAACCAACCCAATTTTCATTACTTTAATGGTCGAATTTGTATACATTATTAAGGTACAACAGCGTAAGATATGTGTGCAAGAAAGGTTTATCGATAGCTTCTTTGACAATCTAATATAAATATGCACTTAATATAACATATAATTAATAATATTTATGTATATATTTCTTTCAGGTACCACATAGACCTCATAAAGCTGTTAACATGCTGTACCCTCGAGAAGAACGTGTACACGGAGATCAAGTGTCACAGTCTGCTGCCGCTAGACGACATAGTGGCCATGATCACACACCCTGACTGTATACCAGAGGTCAAACACATTTATACATATATAACGGACATCCATTTAGCTGAAATCGTGGTAGTAATTAATACTATCGCAACTTAGCCACAAACATATTAATAAAGACCGAATATTGGATAAATATTTATTGAAATATCAAATTGAATTAAATTTATTATTTAACTCCATTAGCTTGCACAAACTAAGCTTAATATTATTAAATGAATGAGAATGATCAGAAGTAATTATCTTCTATATATATAAAAATGGATTGCTGTTCCTTAGTCTCGCTAAAACTCGAGAACAGCTGAACCGATTTGGCTAATTTTAGTCTTGAAATACTCCTGGAAGTCCAGGGAAGGTTTAAAAGGTGAGAAAAATTGGAATAATTGCCGAGAAAACCCTAAAAACAGCCTTTTTCTATTTCCCATACAAACGTTTTTTTTTAACATTAGATTTGACAACTAACTCATATGTCAATCATTCTGTTTGATTGAAACAGGAAAAACCTGATTATTTATGGCCTCTAAGACGGAATAGAGTTCGCCTGGTCAGCTATACCTACATATATTACTCTTGACGAAACTAACGCGGACGAAGTCGCGGGCAAAAACTAGTAAACAATATATATGTATATTAACAATATATAGGATATCAATTATGTGTGAAGGTGAAAGAGGCGTACGTGGGCTTCCTGAACCACTGCTACATCGACAAGGAGGTGGAGATGAAGGAGATCTACTCCAGCAACTACATGTGGGACCTGTTCGAGCTGTCCTTCCTGCAGGACATGCTGGCCATACTGCAGCCGCACGCCGCCCTGCCCGCGCCCGGTCAGATATATACAGAGTATATATTATAACATATACATTCCGAAAAATTTTCAAACACATTCACAGTAATTGCTTGATCAAGAACCAAGTTTATAAGGTATTTATGAAATTAAAATACATAGTAAAAAAAATATTCGGAACGGCATTTTTCAGACGTTTAGATGCTCAAGTCCTCATACCTATATTTAATATATTTGTCTGAATTATTATTTACTATACTTCCTGGATAACATCCAAACACATTCATAGTAATTTCGTTCTTATATCTCATGTCTTAAGGTCTATTTCCCCAGGTCCGTCGTCGTCGCCGGTCCGCCCGTCGGCCAGCTCCAAGCAGGCGTGGGTGAACTACGTGACGGACGTCCTCATGCACACTATGTGCACGTTCTTCAACTCTCCCTTCAGCGGCCAGAGCACCACAGCACAGGTAAACACTTACCTGTACTGTGGTGGAGATACATTATATACTAGTTTGTAACCGAGACATCGCCCGCGGTGAATTAAGATTTAAATTCACAGAGAAATGACTAATGTGTACAGTGACTGGCAGCGCCATCTACTCTCTGACACGTGACGTTATACAAAATACAACTTTCATGTGTTCATTAAGAAATTTTTGATGAATCCAATCCTCGCCTATATGTTATTCTGATGTATGAACTACATCAACGAAAAGTTGAAAGCCGTTTACTTTTGTTCGCTTAAAAAGGCAACAAATATTCTTGCGATTTTTGTATTTACAATATAAGTTGGGTATTTCATAAATTATTATCTGATAAATTTTATGAGATACTCAACTTTTCAAATAATTTTGAATTTCAAGCTAAAAGCCGATCCCGCTCAAACTAGAGGCTAAGATACAGACGGTGTTCGAGAAGGCCGCGGCCCTGTCGCGACAGACGAGCAAGCGGCTGCTGGCTTCAAAGAGTTCCAAGCTGGAGAAAATGGCGTCTCAGGTATGAGAGATTGTAAAAATACATACATATTACTATAAGTACTTTACTACTCCATTAAAGAACGAACAGTTTTTTTGCACACCTGACAAATAAATTCTGAAACATTGTCACAATATAAGAAATTTAAAGTTTATAGTTATATCTATATTATTGATACGAAAGTTCTAATGCAACTTTCTACAAGGTTGCGTTAAATGTTTAACGCTTCCGGCGTCGGGACGTGACGACCCCATCGCCCACTGGTGTATTCCGGTGCAATCAGTCACGGGGGGGAGGGCTGGGGGTACAGCCCTGGGAGTAAGACGGTCACGGATCTGGCAGGAGGCCGTCCGTGGCTGTCTTGGGGGGGAGGGGATACTCGGGTCTCTCCGGAGGCCTGAGTTCGCTTGTGGTCGGTCGGTTTCCTCTCTGTCTGCCGTCGGGCGCTTGCGCTCGTCGGTGGGTGGTTGGAGACTGGCCGCGTGGGCTTGGGTGGGAGGGGTAAGGGGTTAACCCTCTCGCGATTAAGCAAGCCCGCCAGGCGGGGGGACACTCCTGGTCACTTGGAGTGAGCCCTCGGGGGGGGAGGTGGCCGTTCGCGGCCCGCCGCCGGATCGTCGCGGATGCATGCTTCGGCGTTTCCCGTGGCGATCCACTTGGCGGCAACGGAGAGTGACCGCTGGTGTTTTAGTGGGTAACATGGGCCCTTCTGGCCGTGAATCCCACATAACCGCCTCTGTCTCCCCTAGACGGAGGGGTAGGTATAAAACCTTTCACCGCGATAACAAAAAAAAAAAAAAAAAAAAAATGTTTAACGCTCTTTGAAAGGGTTAATAGAAAGAGATGGAGCGAGAGATGGGTAGGTCGATTGTGAATTGTAAGCAATGTTTATAAAGCTTATCTTAAACAATCAATACGGGTTCAACGAAAATTAATTTCTACCTATTCCTATATACATTTCCTTATAACGAGGTTTCACTTTCTATGAGAGACATTATTAATATATTTTCTCTCCTTTCCAGTCTTACCTGCAGAATGACCGATCTGTGATGGAAGGTCTACAAGAAATAGTCGCGCTCCTGGAAGAACAGTTACGTCCTTTATTACAAGCTGAGCAATCCCTCCTAGTGGACATACTGTACAAGCCTCACAGACTGTTCACGAGCCCGGGAGAACTCACGCATCCGGACACTAGCGGGATATTCATATCCAGGTATATGACCCGTACACTGAAGGTTTAGTGAGAGGAAATACTTAGTATAGTAGTCAGTAGTAGAATATGAAAAGGACTGATTGATTACCCATATGTTTTACTTTGTAACTTATTGTACTAATAATGTCTCCAACTTGGTTACACCTCATCAATTTATTTATTTATTTCGTTAATTTAAGTCTTTACAGTAATAACGTTTTAAAATTTAACTAAATAATACTAAAATGTTAGAGGTGACACAGAAATATAAAGGAAACGAGGCTTAAGCTTTAATTAATCACCATATCAATCTGGGAGATTATTTGTTATTTGTGCATTTGCGCATATGTGTGCATGCGTGCATGCGTGTGTGTGTATGTGTGCGTGTATGGGTCTCTCTTTGTGTGCATTTGCGTTTTAATAATGAATCCAGTTGCAGTGCTTTTTGAAACTTTTTTTAATACATGTTTCTTCATAATAAATAATTCTCAGCGAGAAATAACATATACTATTTCTTAGTGTACTTTCTACAGGATAATTTGTAGTGTGTGTAACAGATATTTTTTGATTATAAGGCGGTTGGAAGTTCGCCGGGTTAGCTAGTATTTTATAAAAGAGTTTATGTATAGTCAATATTAATGTATTAAATATAATTATTTCCCAGGTTTTCCCAGTATGAATAATTGGAAGATTAATCAATAAAGTGTTTTTACTAGAGGTTATAATGAATACATAAAAGTAAAAAAGTATTGTTAACCAAATTTATTTATACAGGGTGATTGGTGAATTACTATCGATACTTGAGGACGTGATATTTGACGATCATATATGACAAAATAAAAATTAATATAACATAAATATTAATAAACTTCTAAGTAAAGTTAACCAAAAGTTGTGTAATTAATTACGCATCGTGTGAACACCCTACAGATTAGGTATACATCCACACTCACACATACGCGGGCGGCGGCGTAGTGTTGTATCAGCACGCCGCCGCACGCGTCCACACATGGAACACTTGGAACGTGTCAACACTTTATTTATTTATACGGAAATTTTGTCAAAAATTAAGGGCCTATTTTATTTACATAATTTTAATGAGAATCAAGTACCGAGTGTTCTCCTTAAATATTGATAGTAATTCACCAGTCACCCTGTATATACATATTTGTGGAACTGATACATACATTTTTTAATAAAAAAAATCTGTTACATTTATTTAAAGACTTTGTTTCTATTACAATATTCATCACATGCAACTTATATTATTATTTTGTTCAAAATGTTTTATAATAAAGTAATATAAGTTAATATTCGTATATAAACGTCCGTTTTTCTCCCAGGTCCATGCCACGAAAACCAAAACTACATAGCTACCCACGAAAGCAACGGTCTGGACATTATAACGGCTTTGATACTGAACGACGCCGAGAGGATCCTCTACAACATGAACCCCAAACAGCTGGTGGGGCACTTACCTTACTTGGTTACAGCGAGACCAACTTAGAAATCTATCTTTATATATATAATTCTTTTGTGAGTGTGTATGTCACCGAACTTCACTCAAACGACTGGACCGATTTTGATGAAATTTTTTGTGTGTGTTCAAGGGGATCTGGGAATGGTTTAGATTCACAATTTTGTCCGCTGGATAATGTTTTTTTAATTAATTTTTAATTTATTAGTAGTTGTTGATAGAAACGTTTTTATTTGACATTAGATTTGACAACTAACTTATATGTCAATCATTCTGTCGCACTTCAAAACACGGAGATTTATGGCTTTAATAGGTAAACTCCAAATATATAAATAAAAAACGTAACCAATATTTCTTGATTATAGGGCGACACGAAGTTCGCCGGGTCTTCTAGTTTTATTATAATATTCTACTTCCCTCGCACTAATCTTGTTTCATATATTTATGTAATGTTAATGTTATCTTATAGGAAGCCAACACGATGGCTGAACGAGACTTAGGCTCCACTTTTCTTCTGCCTCACGTGCACCTTTATAAACCAGACCTTGTGGGTATTGAACTTACACAACTAACGGTTTGATTCACTACTAAAACACTTTATTATTATTATTATTTGTTTTTACTAACATTAGTTATAAGGTTGCCATGTAATACTAAAATTTAAATATAGACTATGTCTGAGACAAAATAAATAATTTTTATTATTGTTATAAAAGATTTGGGCCTGTCCAGAATCAACATGAATTTGTTCTTAGAACGTACTTTAAGGCAGCCCTAGTAGGTTCTTTTAAATTTTGGTAGAGAGAGGAGCTTGGATAGTGGAGGTGAGCGTTTAACGCACGTTAGATAAGGCCCTCTTAAACCTACACCTTGGTAACAAGTCCCAGTCACTGTTGAAGCTCCTCTCACTACAACGATGGACCCGACACACGCACGGTGAATACATTGAATGATGAGAAGTTTCGTTTCTGTAGTTTTAATTATTTTTCTCACTTTCCTATTTTAGAGCCAGTCCTATCTGCGTGATTTCTTAATGCTACATTCATTAATTTCGTTTCTTAAATCATTCATACAAGTATTTTTTTCATTTTTTCAGACCAGTGACGTATCTGAATTCGACTCCCTGTGAAGACTGCCCATAAAAAGCGAGATGTCACACAAAATTTAGAAAAATTCGACAAAAACCATTAGAAAGTTACCAAAATTTTTTTAACAACGAATCCAGTGAAATTTTAGCTTTTATATCTATAGGTTATTTATTTTAAATTATTAATATATTTAATGAATAGACAATTTTTATTTAAATATCATGTGTTATACACATTAAGTCAGAAGAGGCTTAAATTGCAAATAATTTTCTTTTCTATGAGTATTGTGATATTTTTGTATTTATATAGAAAATTTATATTTTATGTTTTCAATAAACAAACACAATTTTTGTGAATATAAAATGCCATAATATATGTAAGCGTTCAAAACAGATTTAAGTAACGAGAATTATTTGAATGGGAAATCTACTTATACAAAAAACTATTAATGAATTATTTATTTGATTTCCCCTTTGAAAATTTTTCGTATTATTTTCTTTGGTTATTTTATTGTGCAAAAAATGTGCCAATAATCAATAGATTGAATTCAGCTTTTCAAGAAGCTAGCTAGCTGTTTATACAAATAAAAATCAGTGTTATGATACATAATTGTTATTCTTAAATTATTTCTGTATTTTTATGACAATTATAATTTATTATTTTACTATTTCTAAATAAAAAAATATTAAATAAACATATTTTTTTCTTTTATCTTTTTTTATAGATTATAATATGGGATCTAAAATGAAACAACCAATTAAATATGAGACGTAGCGTTTTTATTCAATAATCAATAATATTTTTGTTTATCGATAGAATATTTAGCATTAATAATACAAGGAAACAATAGCAACTAAATAGATCTTAAAACTTAATACAGCGATGATTCATTTAAAATTATGTAACATTATAATCAAGCACACATATATCTTAAACAATTTTAACTATTTAATTTATCCTAGCGTTTTGCTTCTTGATTATAGAAGAAAACGAAGCGGAGTTACATTGGCTCTAACGCCAGCGAGTGTTCAAGCTTGTTATTCTAACAATTCTAGGTCTTACGTGCTTCAGTCTCAAACCTTTTTTTATTACATTCCTCATGATACCATTCTTTATACATACATTTATATATATCTGTAAAACGATGTGAGCAAGCTTTGCCGTACATAGTATTTCGACGATCAAATCAACTAACTTAAAATCTAAACATCGTTGAACGTATATAAAATTATTATGTGTTAGTTTTTAATGAAGTTTCATTTAAAAATATCTTTATTTTAAATGGTATTAATTTAGATTGATTTTATACTGTCCGTCAGTGACGCTGAACGCGAAAACCAATATATAATAATACATTTTGTACCTATCAAATTGTGCAAATATCGAAACCAATTTTTATTGACCCATAAAAAAGAGTAGCCAACATATTTCTTCATAGCGAGAATGTTAGTTTCATTAACCGATCATTATGCTTCTAATATAACAATATCAAAACTGTTAGTATCAGAAACTTCTACTTATTTTAAATCTTAATATTATTTGATATTTCTACAGTGTTAACATCATGTAAGCGGTTATTTTCAAGACTATAAAGCTAAGCTATCTATAGAGGTTAACGGGTCAAGTAATATGGACCGATGTCGAATATACGACGGTACAATTATACGAAAATACATGGAAATTTTTTCACCGGATAGATTATATGTTAGATCCGGGAAAGAGAATTGTAAAATCCTTCATATGTACGAGTATTGTCTTATTATTATTATGGTTAACGTTAATCTGAATTGTCACATTTCAAGTATTGTATGTATATAGTTTTCTTTAACATTGTTTTGTTATAGCAAATAGTGTGCATTTGCTAAGCCTAAGCCGAGAATTGTAAAAATTGCATTATTATAAAGAGAATATGTATGCATCAGTATTTATTTCTTCGTTTTGCTAGAACTAGACGTCGGTTTTGGAATCATAGAAAGAGATCTGAAAAGAAAAATTCTTTCAGAACTACATCAACACACTATTAAATTATATGCATTTTATTTAATTAATTAATATGCAATAATTTTGTGACCATAATTATTTATAGCTAAAACGAAATTAAATTTCTACAAAATAATAAAATATCCTAACAACATGCTTATATGAAACGAAACAAATCATGAAAAATAACTTGAAATAAAAGTTATTATAAATATCAATAACCTAACAAGCTATGCATTTCAAAATCAAATATTCTATATTATTAAAGCAAAACAGTATAGTTTTTGAAGTGTACCTATTTTCCGACATTTTCTTGCGAGTGACTTAAACAATAGCAGCTGCAATGACAATTATTTGCGTTTTAGTAGGTACATTCATATATTTAAATAAATAAAAATAAAGCCAATTCATTGGATATGAAAGTAAAAAGCGTAATCAGATCAAAATAATAATAATAATTTACATTTAAAACAAATAAATAATAAAAAATATTAAAATTATGCTTCTCTTGGATGTATTGCACAGTTTTAAGAGAAAATGGAATCTATTGCTGAAGAAATAAATCATATTTTACCTTCTCTGGGCTGGAACAGGGGGGGATGACTGGGCAGCTGGAGGCAGTGCTGCCGGACAGCTTCCTGATAGTGTTGTTTGAATATCTTCTTGGTCTTCCTTTTTCTCCCCTGAAGAGTGAAAGAAGAACAAATTTAATATACTCATTGGCAAAAAAAGTCCTAATATATTTGTATTTTTGTTTCTTATACCTTTGAGAATTGGCGTGTCTCCAATATAGAAGGTTGGTGCTGGCGCTTCAACAGCTGCTTCTCTAACTGATCCATCGCCGCTCACTGCACTAAGAGTGTCCGTACTATCAAACATGATAGTCCGCTCCTTAGCCTGTGGGATACGACCATCTAGCTCCTGTACGATGTCACATAATTCATATTACAATACCAAAATACTCTCTTCAATATGTCAGTTTCGTGATGGGAAGCCTTACCAGTCTTTCGGTGTCAGAATCAGGTTCGTGCACCTCATAATCTTGAGAGTAATGTTCACTTGTTGATTGGTGTTCTAAACTCTCCATCTGAACGGCTGTGACCGGCTCTAGGGTGTCAAGCGAAGAGACCATCGTGTTTGAGCCTGGAGGGCGCGCTATGTTATCTCTCTGATTAGTAACAAGCTTGGCGAAGCGGAAAGCTTAAAAGAGGCTTGGAATAATATGTATAAATTCTTTCTATGAGAACTTTCTTAACCAAAAAATTACATGTCCTTGTGTCAGTAAAACATATTATTCCAGGGAATTCGATTTAGTAATACATTAATCTCATAACAGTAAAGGAAGATGAATAACATTATATACATGCTGTTACATAGAAAAAAAATTAAGCATTTTATTATGACATTTTTATTATTTCATACAGTGAAAAAGACACAATGTATGTTTATAAGATTAACCCTAATTTAATTAATAAAGTAAATTTCAAAATGAAGTTGAAAATATTGCATTCTTTCACTGTATAATATAAAAAAATATTTTTTTATTTAAGGAAGGAATTTGTAATCATTCTAGGTAACTCAAGATAAGATGTAATAATGACATTAATTAGAAGCTCATTATAAATATGTTAGTTTTGCATTCCTTTGGAGTAAAGGTAGTAATTAGTAGGACACATCTATATTAAATGATTGAATAACAAAAATAGTGAAGAAATAATATACATGAGAGTTAGTTTAGTGAGGAAATATAAAAAAATCTACAGCGTTAGTTTTTCTATATTACAGTTGTTAGCGCTTTAGGATAGCTTGCCAATTCCATGTTATCATGAACATCGATAAATAACTTTAACATATTAATTATGAAATTTACCTCCAGATGTAAGACTTCCAGTCATAGGCGTATCTACTTCGTAATTATATGTTGCTCTCGTTGCATTGGAGCTAGTGGCTTCTAAACTATCTGTGCTACCTAACATGAGGTCTGCCCGAGCTCTGTTTGAACAACAAAAATCGTTACAAATAAAATATAATGTTTAGACGAATCAAAATGTTTCCTTACAGTACTCGTAAGCATTACATATCGTGCTTACCGACTAAAACTTCCAGAGGAACTTAATTCTTCGTCTTGACCGCTCCATGAGCCGCTTGCTGGATCTGTAAAATGTTTTCCTGAAACAGTGCTATGAGCTACCGACCTCCCAGAGGAGGGCGATAGCTCACGCACTGCACTTCCTTCTCTAGAGAAATCGAAATCTTCCTGTTTATCCTCGTGTTTTTCCGAAGTTGTTATGGTATGTTTAGTATATGTGACGATTTCTGTTTCCGAAGGATACCTCTCAATTATTGTCATCAAACTATCCATTTCTGATGGCTGTGAAGCTAAAGATGAAGACATTTCAGAGCTAAACGACATAGCATTATCATCGATATGTTTTGGTCTACTCGGTATGTCTATGCCGCCTTCAGAGTCTAAACTTTTAATAGTTTCAGATACTTTTTTGCCATCAACAAATTTTTGCTGAATAACAGTCGTTGTTCTAACAATTTCGATAACTCCGCCCTCTAACTGTTTACTTTCTTCTTGATTTATCTGTGCTTTAGATTTCTCCTCTTGATCCAAAATTTTCATCATTTCTTCACAATCTCCAGGAATAGATTCAGCGGAACCATCACTCGGAGCTGCAGCGCAGGTAAAAGTTGATACTTTCTTACATTCCTCTTCTACTTCACATACTTTATCTGCTGATGTCCCTGGTAAAGGTTCTGGTACAAAAAATGAGCCTCTTTCATCAGTCTTTTTCACGACTACTACTTTCGGTCGTGATTCTTGCATTCTTTGCTCTAATGCTAATTGTTGATCTATAAGTTTGCGGATTGCTGCAGAATCAGCTAGAAGTCTTTGTGATGGGCTGCCATAGCTTCCAACCTTTTGAGATGGACTTCCGCTTTTTTGTGAAGGACTACCACTTTTCTGACCTGGACTTCCACTACTTTTTAGTGGGGGACTACTTTCACTGCTGCTGTCATATGAACGTTTCTCTTGCTCCAAGAAACTGCCACTTACAACTTTTGGATCTGCTAATAACAAAGCTTCTTTTTGTTTCGCAATTAATTCCGCTTTCAATGCTTCAAGGCAAGCTGTTTCCAGCCCCTCAAATTCTTTTAAACTCGACACAGATATGTCATCACCTTGACTTCTACTTAATATATATCGCCTTGGTAGAGAGCCATTTAAAGAGTCCTGAGATGATGAATGTTGGTTATATTGTTCCATCAAAGCTCTTTCTAAGTTTTCAAATTCTTGAAGTGAACTGATTGAGATATCGTCATTTTCGCCTTTCAACCTAAACCTCATTCGCGAGGCCATTTCAGATTCCGAGAGACTTCCATAAGAGTTTCTAAAACTTCCGAAACTCCCAATAGATTCTTTTTGAGAACTTAAGCTCCCAATTCGACTATTGTCAAAGTCAGTCATTTCTTCTTCTTTAATGTCTTCCAAAGGAATTCTTTCGTAGTCATATCTTGGATCTCCTTCAAATTGCATCTGTATCCATCGTTTACCTGCTTCAATTTCAGCTAATTCTTGGGCTTGAATTCTTTTTTGTTCCAGCTCATATAGTTGCAATTCTTCATCTGATAAAGAGCCAGATGCACTACTTGTGCTCTCTTGTTTTTTTGATGTTTTTGACAGATATTCTTCTACTTCAGTGTCATGACGTTTCACGTAAACTTGGGACTTAATTCGAAGACTTTTCCCTTCGGGATCTGTTTCTTGTGCTTCTTTAGCAACTTCTTCAATTACAACAAAATCGTCCATTTCACTGGGTTTGTCAACCATTTCAAATTCATCACTTGTTGGTGATTCTTGTTCTTTTTCATAAGTTTGCAAAGCTCTTTCTTCAGTAGTAACCACAAGTTCAGATTTACTACTGACTGTATGTAGATCTGATTTTAACTCTGGGGTCTCTGATATGTCGTACATATCATCAAGGACATATTCTCTTCCATTATCTGTAGATAATGAACTTTGACTTGGGGCTGACAAAGGGGTTTGCGGTGTAGATAGGTGTTCATGAGTTTTTAAGCTAGATGTAGAACTTTGTTTACTCTCTAAGCACACTTCCGATACTATTCCTGATTTTTCAACTTTCGTTTTGGGTACCGAAGAATCACTTTTCGACTTAAGAATCTCTTCATATTGCTTCGTGCCTTCGGGAATTATGTCGCTTTCAATATCAACAAATTCTCTCTGTCTTGGTGGTTTTTCAGTTATTGGAAATGGAATAGCACCTATCTCTTGGAAATCTTTTTTGACAAACTCTTCTTTTATTTCTGTTTCTGTAATTTGTTTTTGTGGCGTACTTTCGTCCATTTTTATAGCAGTCTTCACAATTATTTCATCGTCTGAAGATTTTATTGGTGCAATTATCGTTCCATGTGTCTGTATTTGTTCATACTCTGCCGAGCCGATAGGAATGATTTCACTTTCTACATCAACAAATTGTCTTTGAGTTTTTTCTACTTTGGTGACTGAAAACGGTAAAGCTTCTTGATGGTGTACAGAGGCTTTAGTGACACTTTCTTTAATTTCTTCTTGGTCTGAATCTATTTGAGATGAAGAAATATCTACTTTGGAAATTGAAGACGATAACACTTCATCAGTTTTTAATTGACTTGATATAGTTGTATCTGAGCCTTCTTTATCTTTAAGGGAATCGTCATCGAACTCAATACTTTCAGATGTTCCGTCGAGTGGAAAATGTTCTGGTATCATATCTTTTGGTTGAAACCGCATTTCATGTGACCTCTTCATTTTTCCGACAGGGCCTACTGCGTCAGATTTATATTCTTCATCACCAGAGATTTCGTCTTCGCTTGATTCTTTTGTTTTTATTGTTTCTCCTTTTTCTTGAGTATGGAGAAACTGTTCGACGTATGTACTACTCTCCATCAATTCTTCTTTTAACTCGTTTGCTGAAGGAACGAGTGTTTCAGATGCATCAGAAATGTCAATACTAGCTACATGACTTGACGCGTCCGAATCGAGACTTCTCATGCTATCTCTCGATGCAAGTGAACTGCCAGCAGTAAAATAATCCTTTGAGGTTCTTAAAGATTGAGAAGATATATCTTGACTTGTCAAAGCAGTATCATAATCAGTCCCACTTTGTGCTGTCATCATTACTTCTACGTCCGACGATAATGGTCTACTTTCAGAATGCTCAAAACTGTGGTAGTGACTTTCACCCGAGCTTGACCACCCCTCAATTTCTGACGTAGATCTTCTGTCAGCGACGCCTAATTGTGACTTTATATGCTTTTGAACTCTCAGCTTAACTTCAGGACTTCCTTTTGAAGAGTCATTCCTATCGGAAAGAACGTAATCACTTTCAGTTTCTAATATTGAATGAGGACCGCTATCTGACCTCATAGATATATCGGCTTCTAGTGGTGGACTAGATTCTTTAAGCTGAACTGTTGCTCTTTCTTCGTCAGAAATCGAAGTTTCTTCCTGGGAATAATTTTTTTGAGAAATGCTCTCAGTCTCAATATCTATTATACTTTGTTTGGTGTCATCAGTAACGGCATGTTTTCCAACACTGCTTTCAGCCATGGTTGGTTCCTCTGTTATAGCTTCTGGTCTGTCAGGACTTAACAAAATTTTAAATTGAAACTCAGATGGAGATTGCTTATATTTTATGCTGCCGTCACTTTTTTCACTTATTATTTCACCTTGCGCTGCTTCAAGAGACTGCTTAACTTCGTCAATTGTTTTTTCTAAAACAGATAAGTCAGCAAGAGGTTGAGCAGACATTAAAGAATCAAGTGCCACCCTTTCCGTCTCAAGTTTCATCCCGTGAAACTCGGCAGAGGAGAAATCAGTATCATAACCACTACTACAGATGTCTTCAGTACTTTTTTCTTTTAATAATTTTAGTCCCTCTTTTTTTTGATCAGATCCTGTAATAAATGCTGAGTCGGCTTCATTTGAGAATTCAGATGGATGTAATGTTTCGGCGCTAACTGTAGAATCCATGGATTTTTGTAAACCTTCACCTTCATGAGATTCTAAAGACTTTACCATATATTCAGTATCAATACTTTCACCAGATTTAATCATAGCATCCTTAGAGATGGTGCTTAGGTCATCAGTAATTTCTTGAGTACTGGGCGAAGTGTCTATTTTGGAAGTTTTTAAACTACACTCAGCTTTAGTTTCTAATACTTCTTTTATATCTATGACTGTATCACTACTCATAGCTAATGTAGTTGACGTTGCAGTAGTCGTTATTTCACAGGGCTTTGAACTAAAAGTTTTGTCGGTGATATTGGCGCTATCTTTTTGTATAGATACTTCAAGTATTACATTTTCCATTTCGCTTTGTGGTAATTTGACTGGCGATTTAAAGACTTTATCTTTATGAGGCGTTTCACTAGTTTTATCATCATGAGGTAGTTCGGGTAGGACTTCTGACTCGGAATGTGTATCTTGACTTCCTGTTCGACTAAAGGTACTCTTAACAGGTGACGTCGAAATTTTTATTTCTTTAATGAAATCTACTTCATACACCTCGTCATCCTTTTTGAATGATCTAGATTTGCTTTTTGGGCTTCCTTCAGATGAATCTTGTCTTTCGACGGTTTCACTCTTAAAACTTGGTACATGTGAAGCATCAGAACTAAGGTCATCGTGTTCCTTACTCTCAATAACAGATTCTTCTTTATGATGCTCTACCTTCGAACTGATTATTTGTCCTTTTTCGGACACCTCCACGCTGCACAGCGTTTCATCTGTCTCTACTATTTTTAAATTAGAATCAACAAAAGCAACTCTAGCTTTACAATCATCTTTTATATCCTCTAACTCTGCAGGTTCTGTAAAATATTCTTTTCCCCACTGTTCATGAGATAAATCCCGTTCCGATATTTTAACTTCTTGTTTTTTCTTAATTGTTTCATCCTTTAACGCAGTCATTCTTTCCTCAGATTTGGTTTGCCTCCCGGTGTAGAGACCCTGTTCACAAAACTCACGCTCTATTTTAACAATATCTGTATCGTCAGTACTTTTAAAGACAGTTTTCGTTTCAATATCTGAGCGCTTCGCAGTTGCTTCATGGGCCTTTTCCATTTTCTTTTGAGACGTTTCAGTTTGATCGCCGTCCCTTCTTACTGTAGTCTTTTCCTTCATTTCATGTTCTTGTCCCCGAAGTTCATGACTTGTTTCAGTTTTTATAATAAGTGAATCATCGTCAGAGGAAGATACTTGTTTTGTCTCAGAAAAGTATTCCTGTCCAGATATTTTTCTTGTTTCGGTTTCTTTATGAGATAAAACAGTACTATACTCACTTGTAGCTCCAAATTTAGCAATCATATCAGACATGACAGCTTCCGGATCTATACTTTGAAATTTTAATTGAGAACCTTCTATTGTCTTTTGAATAGACGAAGAAGATGTCGATGTTTCAATCTTAGACTGTGAGTAAAATGTATCTGATGTAGATGATACCTGCTTATCTTCATGCATTTCTTTTTTTATTTGGTCAATAACATCAATACTTTTTTCTATTGTTCGGTCTACTAATTCTTGAGCACCAACAGTGATTGTTGGCTTATCGACATTAACAAATGTTATATTCTCGGCGACGTGTTTTGTAGGCGATTTAGGTGTAGCAGCTGCACTGAGCGCTTTAGAGGCTTCAGTAAGTATTTCTGTAAAGGAAGATAAAAAAAATACTAATATGTGATGTAATTATGACAAACGTACCATAAAAGTAGTTTTAAAGTTTAAAATATACATAAGACAATTAATAAATACTCAAATATGTATATAAAAACATAGATGGTGATGACGAACATTTTTTTTGTGAAAACAACGTTACGGTGTCCATGAAATAAGCCTTTCAATACTTACAAAAAATAGCGATGTAATAAAATATAAAATGGAAAAATGTAACAGTGAAGAAGGCGAGGTGATGCTGCGAAATGTATTTACGAAATTGTTATGACTTCAATCAAAGCGAAACTTTACTCAAAAGTGAACAATAATATGAAGTGTGAAAAAAAACCATTTGCTATTTAATGACAGGAAAATCAACGTGTCCCAAAAAGAAGTAAAAAGCGATACCAAAGAAACATTTGTGTGATTTTTCCAATTATATCAACTTACCTAAGAAACGTGAGGACTCCGCAAGAAAGAAAGTAAAATTTACTGTGCGACAAATATTAGCATAATTTCTGTTGCTCTTTGCAAAATGATTTCTAAGGTACAGCAATAATTCGAAACGATACTTTTGTTTTTAATTTTTATTAAAGATGAATTGTTTATATGATTTATCTACTGAACTACTGCAGGTGCTGATAAATGATTTTGATTTCTGGTTAAATCTTTACTCAAGTTTGATCAGCTGATTTTTAAGTCATGCACAATTGTCACTAAAAAGTGTGGCGGAACGATTTTAGAGACATTATATGTATTGAAACATGAGTAAGGTTTCGCTATGAATTGCCACTATCTATAATAAACTAGCTTTAACTGCCAGGAAGCTAACATAAAAATTTAAAACTATTATTACAGATCAAAAAGATGTTCTAAAACTTGTGGTGTTTTTAATTTTTGTACCTAAGTTAATTTAAGAATATGAATAATTTTAAACCTATTAATATAACTAAATAAAAATAAATAAATTCTATATATCATTTAAAAATTATATCAGTATTATATATGACTTCAAAAATCATATATAATTTTTATTATTTTAATCAAAACAACTCTTGGTACTCATTTTCTCAAATAAAGAAAATTGGAGTTATTTTTTTAGGAATTTATTTTAACAAACGTACATAGAGTACGTTATATTTACTTAAATGCTGCCATTGTTATATCTTATATTTATTTTATATATTTAATTACTGACCACTTTGGTGGGCTTCGGTTTCACTGGTAAGGCTGTCTCCGGCAGAAGATGCTCGCGGCGATTGACGATTTGCGTCAAGGAACGATGAATCCGAACCTAAAACCATATCACGTAAATGAATATTTCACAAAATGTTTTTGAGGTAAATTGGACATTTAAATTTTACCTTTTGGTTGCAGTCCGGTTGGTTTATCTAGCGATGCAATTTCTTCGCGTTTAACTTTTTCTTTCATTATCAAATCTACAGGTGACGGCGGTGGAGTCTTGGAAAACTTTGTCGAAAGATCTGCAAATAGGGGATAAATTGATTATGTTTTTCTATTTATATTATATTTATTATATAAAAAATATATCTTACCATGACTAACATGACTCGAATCAATCCTTATCAGAGCACCTTGTGCCGAAATATCTTCAAGTAAGTTTGAACATCTTCTATTTAATTCTGTTATATCAGGTACTTCAGATTCTTCATCTTTTTCAGGTTCTTTTGAATGACCTTTCTCTTCATCCTTTTCATCTAACACACTTTCACTCTTGGATACTGTATCAGTTACAGCATCTGTTTCAATTTTAGGTTCAGTAACTTCGGACAGTTTTGGATGTTCACTATACAATTTGCTTTCATTACTAACTGATTGTTCCTGTGTAAAGCTAGCTGTTGAAGAAACCGCTCTTAATATAGATATCTCTTCTTCTATCAATTCTTTGCCTTTAGTTATAATATCAGACGCATCAGATGCCAATGTTTTTGATACATCAAAAGAAGAATGTTCTTCAGAGAAAGTTTTCTCATCCAGTGATCTTGAGGTTTCTTTCACACTATCTATAGAAACCTTAGAGAAATCTTTAGTCAAGTCTACGGTTGAATCTTTTGATAATTCATTTGTAGCAAAATCTCTTGACGTATCTTTACTATCTATAGATGATTTAGAGTAGTCTTTGGTAAGGTCAATAGACTTCTTTGATAAGTCATCTGTTTGGTCTTCTATTCTAGATTCTTCTTTTGCATCTATAGACGTTTTAGAAGGGTCTTTTACTAAGTCTGCTCCACTTATTTTTGACAAATCAGCTGAAGTTCCATCTTCGAGAACCGATTTTTGATCATCATCCGATGACTTAGTCAAAGTGGATATTACAGTAGTTAAAGATGATTCCGTAGTTGATTTCGATACAATTTCTGACCGGAGCACACTATCTACGAAATGGGTCTTCTTAACATATGTGTCAGAAAATCTGTCATCGTCAACTCCTGGCTGAGCCGTTGAGCTTGCTCCAGAATGCACTTGAAATTGTGTGTCTTTTAATTTTATGGATTCTGTGTCTCCAGGGAATTTCCCTTCGTCTTCAAAATACTCCGCCTATTTAAAAATATTAATATTAAAATATATAATTTTAAATTATCTATTCGACATTAAATTATTTAAGCTTGATAAATAACTTTTACAAATAAATACCTCTTTTTCTGGAAAATCATCTGCGTCGTCAAGTGAATCAGTTTTAATTTTCTTAATATCAAAACTCGAGGTCGGGAGTTTTCCATCAATATCAGAGGTTGGTTCAATAATTTCTAAGACTTTTGCCTTGTCCATATCTAAAATTAAATACATCCTGATTACTCTTTACAACAAGACATTTAAAATATTTATAGCTTAAAAGATATGAGTACATTAAAAAAAAATAAACAAAAATTATTCTTCATGTACCTGATTCAGAATCCGTGTAAATTTGTTCCTCTACTTCGTCCGGCGAACTTTGAACAGAAAATGTTCGAGACTGTTTTTTCTTTGGCATAATTGCTACTTCACCGCTATCTCTTGAGAGTGATTTCATAAGAGCTGGCCTCTCCTTGGAAACCTTTGGATCCTCAGAAATCTGTGTACTTTCTATCTTTTTAGCCATATGAGCATCGTCCGCAACCTTGGATTGAACTAAATAATCTTCAACAGTATTAAGTGCTTCTTCTATTATAGAATCCACCGAAACCTCACCCTGGAGATCTTGAGGTTTTTCTTCTTCAAAGACCGCTTCTTCAGATGAAGCATCTAAGTCTTCTGAGGCTTGTTTAATAATGATTTCAATATTATCGGCCATTTGCTTCATAGCTGAGTCAGATTTTTTCATTTTTATTTGAGATTCTTTCGTTTGTGAGGTCGCTGATGATGTTTGTGTATCAATTTCTATTTTTGCGACTTCTTCTTCCATTTCTATTTCAGATTCAGCAATTCTTTCTAATGAAATGGCAGGACTTATACACGAATGTCGTCTTTCCTCTTTTTGTGGTACTCTTGCGTCATACAATCTCCTCTCGGTTTCCAATATTTCTTTACTAATCAATTTGACATCTTTTTCATGTATTGGACTTTTTGCTGCAGCGACAATTGTTCCTTTTTGTAGTATATCATCAATTACACTCGTAACGTGATCTTTTGTTATTTCTTTGGTGTCCCTTAGTTTCAAATTCGTAGGAATCGTTTTCTTACTGTCAATATCTAAATCAAATTGGCTTAAAGTATCAGTTCTTATTTTGCTAATATCAAACTTTGGTGTTGTTATTTTAGTATCGGTTGACTCTTGAATTAAAGTTGATGAATCTGGAAGTATAACTGTTTCGTCTTTGTCCTCAGTTGCTCCAATAGTTCTTGAACTTTTTAATGCTGGTGTTGAGACTTCTTTTTTTTGCTCTTGTTTTATATCCGTTTCATCCAACATTTCATCACTCATATCTGATTGAAATACAACAGACTTGTGTTTAATTTTATCAACCACGGATTTGTCTGTTTCGTGTGATATAAAGGTTTGTTGTTGACTCGATTTAATCGATTCTGATACTCTAGTTGACACTGTTTCCTCTCCCGATGGATATTTCGTAATTTCGGTTGTGGTCGTCTTAACACTTTCATCACCAGAAGGACACTGCGTCACCTCAGTCACAATAGTTCTTCTTATTTCCTCACCATTTGGTCCCATTTCTGTTGAGGTTTCTGTGGTGGATGATTTGGCTGTTTTATCTTCTAATTCATCTGTTTTTGTATGTCCTTCTGGTTCTTGTAACGTTGTAATTAGTTTTTCTGTATGTTGAATAGATTTCACTGATTCTGATACTCTAACAGATACAGTTTCCTCTCCAGATGGATATTTAGTTTTTTCAGTAATGGTAGTTTTTATTCGCTCTTCACCTGATGGGAATTTCTTTTTTTCAGTTAGTATAGTTCTTTTTATTTCCTCACCGTTGGGTCCTATTTCTGTTTCAGACTCCTCGGTGGATAACTCGCTCTTTTCATCTTGTATTTCATCGGATTTTACCTTTTTCTTCGGTTCTTCAAATTGTTCAGTGATTTGGGTACATTTGACTGATTCTGATACTTTAGTTGATATTGTTTCTTCTCCAGCTGCATTTTTGGTTACTTCGGTTATAGTAGTTCTAACTCTTTCTTCACCCGAAGCACATTTTATGGTGTCAGTTATGACAGTCCTTTTTATTTCTTCTCCATTTGGTCCTACCTCAGTTTGAATATCGGTGGATGATGTTTTATTTTCATCATATTCTGACTCATCTGATTTTAAAAGCATCATGTGTAGTCTATCTTCCAAAGCAGATTCCGGTTCCACGAATGTATAATGTTTGTCTGTTTTTAACGAATCACTTTTTGAAGTTGTTGTTAAAATTATATCCGCATGTGAAGGTTGTTCAACAAGACTTCCAATTTCTGAAGTCTTTGAAGATTCTGTAAGGGTTTTAGTAATGACGTCTTCCCTGGATTTCTCTGTTACTGGTTTATGTTCTTTCTGAATTATTTGGTTGTCTTTAATAATACGTTTTTCTAAAAAACGACTAGATTCCGAAACTTTCGTTGTTGTTTTTTCTTCTCCTGTTGGGTAAAGTGTGGTTTCAGTTACAGTCGTTTTTGTGATTTCTTCGCCCGATGGTGTTATTGTTTGTTCGACAACAGTTGTTGTTGAAATTTTTTCACCTGTTTCCCCTATGACTGTTTCAGTTTGGGAAGAAATAGTTTTATTATCTGTCGAAACAACTGCCTCCTGTATTAAATTTTGTTCTTCTTGAGTCATTTTAGCATATTTAGTTTCTTTTTCGATATCTGCGGATTTTTCTGGTGAAATTAATTGTTCAGCTAAAGATTCAACCCGTTCTGATACCTTAACAGAAACATGTTCTTCTCCAGACGGGTAAGTTGTAGTTTCAGTGATCGTTGTTTTAATTATTTTATCTCCTGAAGTCCCTTCTTTGACTTGAATCATAGTTGTAATATTTATTTTTTCACCAGAATCACCTATTTTAGTTTCTGTAGTCGAGGATACTTTGTCATCCAGTTTGGTATCATCCGATAACATAATTCCTTCAGATGGGGCTGATATTTGTTTCATTCCTGTATCCTTTATTGAGGCAATTTTTCCTGGATCCGAATCTTCGTGTGTTTTTACAAGTTTGTTATAGTCAGAAATTTGACTAACATCGGTTTTGTAAGTTGGCAAATCCTTTTTCTCTGATTGAGTTTCAACTGTTGTAACGATTCCGTCTTCTTTTTTTACTTGAACAAGAAGTTCACGCTTTAATTGCTCTTCACGTTCGCGCATTAAAAATTGGCTTACAATTTTTTTATCCGGCATTGAGCTGAAAGAAAATAATTGTTTTTTAATATTTGATTACAATTATATCTATAAAACGTATTCTAAATTCCTACCTCACTTCCGCAATATGTGGCAATTTTGGTACATAATCCATAACATGATCTTCTGGAAAACCTTCTACATCATCCAATGAGTCCCCGTGACTTAATTTTGCTATTTTTGACGTCTCAGTTTTAGCTGCAATGTTGTTGATTTTGTATTAAATTTCAATTTTGGATACAACTATTTTTGAATGTTGCTAAAGATCATAATTTAGTGGAGATAACATTAAATATTTGGTTATAAATACCTGGAGATTTAGCTTTAGTATCCCTATCTTGACTACTTTCAACTCTTTCGCGATGAATATCAACATGAGTGCCTTGAGTTCCAATATCATCTTCAGATTCTTCAAAAGTGTAATCTCTTGATTCAGTTATACTATGAGCGTCAGATAGTCGCTTCTCGTCTAATCGTAATTCGCTCACGGATCCCGACCCAACCGATGTTACTGATTGACGTTTAGCTATATCGTCTAGAACAAATATTCAAAAATCAAGAAATGTCCATTAACAGATAAACAGATACAAGAATTTTTATTTTTTACCTTTTCCTAAAGGTTCTCCTTTAACTTTAGCTATTTCTACTTTTTCCGTTTCTTTCACTATTTTGTCAATACTGGTACCTTCTATAAGAGACTTCTCCAACTTTTCCTCTTTTACCACGTGTTCTTCTTCAGAAGAAGTTTTTTTATCAGTGACAGCATCTTCGGAACTTATTCTGTCAGAAATTCCTTCAGATGACTTTCGATCAGATATTTCTATTTCTCTACTGCTTTCGGATGAAATTTTATCCGATACTTCGTCTTTGTCGGACAACCTATCTGTTTCCTCCGCTTCAGTGACAATCATATGAAATTCTTGTTTAGTTGAAGGTATTAGTTCTGATAAATCACTAAGTTTTGTTATAGAAACAGATTCAGTTCGCGAATGACGTTTTGGTGTCATTTTTTTGAAAACTATATCAGATTCTTCAGTTTGAGGTGAACCAGAATCTCCTGAATCTTGCTTAGTAGACTCCAAAATCTTTGGATCTATCTTTAAAGTCGTAAAACCAATAGATTCTTCAAACTTTTCGTCCCCAAATCCACTACCCGAGTCTACAGTCTCTTCATATTCCGCTCGTTCATCAAAATCGGAAGAAGATATTTTTGCTTTTATATCAGATTGATCTGACTTTAAAGAGTCCGCCTCTGAATGACGCCTCGAATCAGTATGATCAGATTCTTCCAATGAATCAGAGTAAATGCGCTTTGAAAAGAAACATTCCTGAACTGAATCATCTTCTGGAACAGTTTCTATAAATTGTCTCGCTTTTGCACTTATGACTGGAGATATCTACAAATAAGAATAAAAAATAGATTGAAATAACTATATGATTTAATTTAACTTATATTCTATTAAATAGATATTTAAATGACACACATTCTGTGCTTACTAATACTAAAATATAAAATTTGAATGTGTTACTACTGAAATTTATGTTAAAGCTTATGCTACTGTAATATCGATTTTTAACCTTTTCATCTTCTTTACTTGATGCAGCAGATGTATGACCTTGATTACTATATTCGGTTTCATAGCTCAAAAATTTAATAGTTTCATCTTTGGCAATTTTTAAAGTTGCATCTTCAACTTGGTTAACTTCTTCAATAATAGGCTTTTCAGATAAAGGTTTATGCGCAGGACTCATACCCATTTGATCGTCTAGATCAGAAAATTGTGAGGTTTCATCCAAAGAATCACTCCTATGCTTAGATTCTTTGGAATACACCTGAAAATATATTTACATAGTAATTAAATTCGTGTAATGTATTTTATTTTTTAAATTCATGTCTTTCAGATAACTTTTACTGAAAAAATATTGACTAACTGTGCCAAATACAATTATAATAGTTGACGGTAATATGAAATGAATGTTTTATTTTACCTTTGATTCCGTTTGAGATACAAAACTGACATCTTTTTCAGTACTCTGTTGTAAATCAGCAAGTGAATCAGTTTTATCAATTGTAGATGGTAAGGTGGATTCTTGAGATAACTTTTGGCCTGCTGTTTCTTGTGTTTCTGAGACTAATGAATCGGTCTTAGCTTGTTTACTTAAATCAGACTTTGTGCTGGTTATTGACGGTTGCGATTCAGTCTGAAAAAGAAATATAATTAATATAGAATTAAAAAGACCTATAGAATAATTAAGTTTTGTCATGTTAAATACCTTTTCTTTAATTTTCTCTTCCAGAATTACGTCTTTTCCTTCTGCAACCTCTGTAAGTTCTTCCTGGCTGACCTTTAATTTCAATTCTTCTTGTAGTTCTTCTATTTTAGGTTCCTTTACGCTTATAGAATCATCGTCTTTTTGTTTTTTATCTTGTTGCTTTTTGTCGTCTTCTTTTAACGTTGTCTTTGATACGATAGTGTCATGAAAATCAGTTTTAACGAATATTTGTTTACTCTGTTCGAATTTGGATTTTCTATCTTTTTCAATTTTAATTGTTGTTTGTGACTCAGTTTCTGTTTCTGAGTCTGTTGATTTTTTTAAAAACTCACTATCTTCCTCAGATGAAACTTGCACTAACGTTGAATCTGTTCTCATTGTTTTGGGGAATATTTTAGTTTTGTCCTCGTACTTGGTCTTGGAATCAAAATGTTGTATGGTTTCTTTAACTGATTTCGCAGTATCGACAATTGATTCAGTGTCTACAATAATTTTCTGATTTTCTATTTGCTTTGACTGCTCTCTGACAAAAGCTTGAGTATATTCAATGCCTTGGTCCTGTTCTTGGGTATGTCTCCTTAAAGCTTCTTTAGTAAGTTTGACAGGTTTTGTTGTATCAATCGTAGGTTCACGTAATATTTTAGTTTCATAGGCATTTATTTTGTCTTTTAAAGTAGCTTCAGCTATATCTTTTTGACTTTCAAATACAAGACCTGGAGATCTTTCCCCATCATCTAATTTTTCTTCTACTCTAGCATTGTCAATTTCCTTTTGAGAAATAGTTTCTTTTGTAAATGTTTCTATTTTAATTTCAGTACTTTGTTTAGTTTCAGTTTCAACAGTAATAGATTTCCTTGGTGTTATTGTGACATTTGAGAAGTCACCCGAGGGGAATCTCATAGATTCATTACGCATATGCCTTTGTAAATGCTTAGGTGTTGGTTTACCTGGTGATGAAGGATCATATTTCCTAAATTGATCTGTCCTTTCTACTTTCACCTCTTCTGTTTTTTCTTTTATAACTTGTTCCCTATGGATTTCTGTTTCCCTTTCACTATCAGCATGAACTGTTTGTTTATGTTTTATATGGTCCTTTCTAGGCTCGGCCTTAACCTACATTCGATATGACTATTTAGTAACAATTTATAAACTATTATTCATATAATACGAAGTATAAAAATTATTACTGAACATAAATTTCAATGACCAATTAGTGACAATACCAACCTGTTGTTCAATATCTTGAAACTTCTTTATATCGGGCTTGATTTGAGTTTTTATTTCAATGATCTCCTCCCGCAATTCCTTCTTCTGTTTAGAAGCCGGGATTTTACTGGAGCTGAGTTTCTTTGTTATCTGCTCCTTTCTTTCAGCCACACTACGCTTGACATCTTGAAAAAAGGCAAATAAAGATAAACAATAATATATGTACTCTTTATTGCACTGAAAAATTTACAAGGTTATTTTACAAACAGAATTATTGTGTACAATGGCGGGCTTATTTCTAAGAGAAATTTCTTCCAGCCAACCCACAGCTGTAAGAGTTAGTGTGTACAGCAGGTAATAAATGTGCAACATGATGATCTTAATAATTGTATAGTATATAAAAAAAACAATTTTAATATAATACATAGTATAACACTTATACTAGTAACACGTACTAAACTAAAATTCAAAAGAATAAATATAATGTTATTACCTTCATCTTCCTCGCTCTCTTCGCTAGGCGTTGGTGTTCTATCCATTTCGCTTTTGTCTAATATTGATTTTTCTTCAGGAGAGTACTTGGCTTCATCCTGATCTAAGTCCTCTGTGCGTGAATGTTCTGCGATCTCACTATCGTCATATGTACTCTCCTTTAGTTTATTATCTTCTTCGGCTTAAAAAGATCATCATTAATACGTTTTATTGCACAGTTTTTGTACCGATTTGTTATATGTCCTATAAAATATTTAATTCCTACCTTTGTACGCTTCTATTTCCTCAGAAGCTTGTCTTTCTTGATATATATTCCTTTGAATACGTCTTTCATTTATCAGTTCAGATTGCGGTGCAATGATATCGTCTCTTCCAATACGACAAAGCGCAAGTTCTATTGAATTATCTAAAAATTAAAATTATATTTAAATCACAATTTTCACAATATGTTCATTGTTGTTTAAGTGTCAGTAATACAATATTAAAATACCATGTGCTTTAGTTCCTGATTGAGTCTTCCAAAGTTTAAGCATAAGCTGGGCCTGTTCGGCCGCTGTTATCCTTTTCGCTTGTATTTGATTGACAGTTGCAACACTCACACCGAGTTCGTATGCCAAAGCCACCCAGTCTTTGCCTAACAGGTTACAAATATCTTCCAGTCTACGACAAATTAATATGACGATTAACTTCTGATTGGTTTTTAATTACCTCGTATGTAGAACGAACATTAAAAAATTAGACGCAATCAATTTACACCCACGCTTGATAGTTCGAAAACGTTTTTAATAACACATTTTTATTTTATAACTGTTACTTCAGTCTTTAAACAAGCCACAGTAGACAGAGTCACCTCCGTGAATGGGGCTAATCCTGTTATATAGAGAAAATCTTGTTACGTTTAACCTTGTCTATATATACAGGGCATATTGCCCATATTTCTATACAATCTCTTAATTCATTTATGTTCAATATTGACTGATAGGTCTTCAAAGAGTTATGATACAATTAAAATAACTAATTATACATTAATTATTATATTATTATAAGCATATTATAACGCCAAAGTTTTTGTTTATACATAAATAAATGAATGTTACAAACACTAATGAGACCATTAAAATTTAATTTATTTAAATAAGTATAATTTATGTAGCTAAATATGATAGAAGAGAAATAGGACAGAAAAGATTATCCAAACCTAAATTGAAATATTTTTTTTTATGTGATAGGTACTAAGAAAAAGCAATTATTATATCCAAAATATAGAACAATTTAGGACAGTTACAACAACTTATGCATACAACAGTCTTTATAAATTTAATGTTATATACGAAGATACGATCACGACGTAAACATTAGTAATAAAAAATTGGTTATAAGTTTCATTGACTTATAAAACTTATATGAATTAATATATATAAAATTTAAAAAGAATGAAAAAATATATATTATTAGAAGTGTTGTCATCGTATATTAGAAATGTTGTCACTATGAATTTTGAAAAATCAAAAGAATCACAGCACGTTTAGGTCTTTCAACTTCCTGATAGACTGATTCTAAATGCATTAAAATTATTAAAAGGTCAATGCAATATTTACGTCATCTCAACAGAAAATTAAGAGAAAACATTTACCTAGGATCTCGAAGCCTCTGTCTCCATATGAGTTCCTGTTCTTCTGTGCGGCGCGGCATCATATCCATTGGTACTGGTGAGATTCTTTCAACTGGTAAATCATCCGGCACCATGATATTCAGAATAGCGATCTAAAGTGGAATACATTTTTTGTTTTATTTGCAATATTACCTTTAATATGACTTTATTTTCAAGAACTTACAGGTGTTGGTGATGGTTCCCCTTTAGGTACTTTTGGATCCCTCATAAACTGACACCTGCAGATGGGCTCCAGGTCTTGAGTCTTAATCATAACCGGGAAAGCGACACGGTTTTCACGGAAAGCTCGGAACGGTATCGAAAGTTGTTCGCCTGATTTAGCCACAGGAACTAAGTTGCCTCCAAATTCTAAATACACGGGTTTACCTTCATGTACCTAATGCAATAAAAGCAAATAAGTAAATGTTAATAATGATATTATGTATTATTTTATTGAAAATCATGATAAGCATCCAAATAAAGTTGTACCTCTACGTCACGGCTCTTCGCAACTTGAATGAATCTTTCAATTCGCTCCAAGGCTTTGTCTTCTTTATCATCAGTGACGCAGAACATACGAAGCTGCGCTTGACATTCATCGGTTCGTTTCGCGTAGACCACAAATCGTGACATAAACGGAACGTGGATTGCTTCCCTAAAATGAATATAACGATAGAAAAATTCCTACCACAAATATTTACTTTGCAAAAAGTTTAGGTCCTCACCGGTATAATTCAGTAGCCATTTTTGTAGCGTCTTCCACATGTCGACAATCAATGAGCCAATAGCGTGCAGAGACCGTAGTTGTGAAAGATACACAGTCATTTACGAACGTCAACGGAGTATTTTCAGTGACATCTTCCCAATGCGCCCTGTTGGTTCCACCTAAAGTAATATGAATGTTATGTTTTTCGTAATTATATTTTCGACATTATATTTTATTACTCCTTCCATTCTTCTACATCAGCTGTAATGCTTTCTGCCTTTTGTAAAATGGTATACATTAAAATTCATGCAATAAGCGTAACCAATAATATCATTGTTAATCTACTTACTAGTTCATACATAAAAGATTTACATTTTTATATTTAATGTAAAATGACACATCAGTTGCATTTAATGTTATTTCTAAGCAATAGTTTAGAAGAAAATAGGTTAATAAATATAAAAAATAAATAAATAAAATGTTTCCAAAACGGCCTATAGCAAACACACAACAAGCAGAGGACAACATACCATAGGAAAAATTATATCGTACCGTGTAGTTGTTAATTTAATGAAAATTGTGATTAAATTGTGGTAATCGTTGTTGGTTTTATTTGTCATCAAAGCATTGTGCCTTATTATAATAAAATAAATGATGGTCTAAGTGTTTTCACTGATATTACTAAAAATAGATCTCTCGAAGGACAACCACTGAAAAAATAATGAAACTAAAAAGTAATAATTCCTTTGGAATGGTGATATAATGTAAAAAAAAGTGTAAAAAATAAAATCAAAAGATGAAACAGAAAATGAAACTGATAGGCCGTTTTGGAAAATAAATTGATCAGTTCAGAAGCAAAATAAAGAGTTCTGTTAATATTAAAGAGTAAGTAGGATGTGTGATTGTCTTATGTAGCACCAAAGAAAGTAGAAACATTTCATTACTTAATCCATAAACCGTCATTGCTTGTGCTATAACTTTGATCGTAGTGCCGATATCAAAAAATGCAAGTTATCTAGAAATAGTATCTGTTACATTTGTACTAGACCGAGATTATGTGAGGTAAACTGCGGTGCATTTTTTTTGTATTTCCAGGTTGATTTCTTTACAAGTTTAACACAAAGTGTACGTGATTTAGGAAAGCAAAACTTTCAGCCCGTGCAAAGAGGAAGAATGTATGAAAGCAAGATATGGAAAAAGCATTCAAGTGGAGGGGGAAAATAACAATGTCATTGATAACTATATTCATTGAAAACAAATGTAGTATAGAAATAAAAATAATGATTACTCATGGAATAAATAAAACATTAAAGGGATAAAAACAAATCATGGTATAAAATAAAAATAATGTGAAACTTAACCAACATTTTGATTTTAACTTGTATAATATGTCTAGTATTTTTTACCTTCGAGAGATCTTTTGCGATATACCCCTGTTGGTGCGCGTCGGATAGCAGCGTTTAAAATAACGCCACACACGGTGAGCGTGCAACACACACAAACACACGAGAACAAAGACAATGTAGACACGCACAAAACGCACACATAGGTAAATACCCCATTAGCTGCACTGTGTATTTGCTATAAGCGCCATTTGATATTCAATATGGCATTTTTTTTTGTCTTTAAATGTAACCCTAGCTTGTATATTTTTTGAAAATGTCAAGGATAATAAAATAAAACTACTCTAATTAATGTTTCAATTAACATGCTTATCCCATTGTCAATAATTTTGGGATAATCGGTTACTAATATATGGAGTAATTTCGTTTATATAACTACCTTCAATATAGTCTTATCCATAGCAGAGAAGAAAAACTATTAACAGCGCTAACTGTATCATGATTTTAACTAACCAAACTATATGATGTTAATAATATAAATATACTATGTATATCTACAGATCTCATCTTCGTTATATTAAAGTCATGGTCGTGATGGCTCACTACATAAAAATTGTATTGTAATGGAATATCGGTCAAGTACTTATTGAGATGAGGCAGGATATCCCTTTACCTAAAATTTTAGCAATCTTACCTTGAAGTAACTACAGAAAATTTAGTACATATATATTTATGTATATAGCGTAATTAAAGCCATACTCCATTGCAACACTTCACAATTACTTTAGCTACTGGAAATATTATCTTTCATAGAAATGTTCTTTTATCTTTTTGTATAATATTCAATGGAATACGATGAAATACCTTTGCTTCCAGTTACCAAGCTTGTAAGAATTTTATTAGAAAAAAATAAACGAAAGTTTAAGCATACCTGATATTGAACAAAGAAGTCTCAAGGTTGGCGCTGATGATGTACTGTATTGATTGGTCATTCCTTGGGTGTGTGGTCTAGGGGCTGGCATGCTAAGAGTTATGGCCTTATGGAATTTTCGTCTTCTTGGCTCTACGGTAACAACTGGTGAAACAGCTACTCCACGACCTAATAGCTTTGCAGTCAATTCCGAGTCTATAATTTGGGCCTGTAAAACAATTTAAAAGTGCACGAATTACAAACTATTGATAATAAATTAACTTCAAAATGAGTTCAATAAATAAATATCACTTTACCCAAAGACCAAACAAGATTTTAAGGCAAATAAATAGTGAGATTTAAAATAAAATACATATAGAAGAAAAATGTACTTACTTGGAAAATGTAATATCACATTTTAGTTTGGTTTTCTTTTTAAAAAGCTATGCACAGTCATAAAATTTGTATTGTAAAAAATAAGACAACATAGGTGATGTAAAAGAGGGTGGTGCACAAATAAGCAAGAATGAACGAATGAAATCACAAGAAAAGCAAAAAAATTAAAATCACACATTTTCTTTCATATAATTCTCACACATGCGGAAGTATAAATACAAATTATAGCCCAATAAAGCTTGGAAGATCAAAAAATATGCAAAAAAAAACCTTAATCATGCACATCTCATTTGGTCTTTAGGAAATAAGGATTCGCAAAAAAACAACACATAAATTTTAGCGTTTTATAACACTACATTACCCAATAAATTTAGCATATCTTAAAAATACACACTACCTAACAATACGTCACACCTGATACCACGCCAACAAAGTTTACAGTATGTCAAATATATGAAGTTATACAATATACAAGACAATTTTTTTTATTATAAATATGGAAACCGCATGCGATCTCACCTAAAGACCAAGAGAACACAATAACGCATTTCATTTATTTGCTGTGTGAGAAAAAAATTCTAGTGATTTCATTATTCATTAAAGCTTACATTAAAAACAAAATATATGTATTTTAATCTTTTATTCGTTTTCATCTACAAGTATTTTTAAGTGAACTAAATTTATTGGGTATAATATTAATAAAATTGGAGTATCGCATCTAATTTCAACCTTATATACTAATAATGGTAACTGTTTCTTGTCGATATGTGATTAATATAACTTTGACTGTCTTCTATATAGACTAGCACATACTTCTTGGAAGTCGCAGTATATAAAAAGACAAAGAGGAGTAAATGTTACTTATGAACTAAATTCTTCATACGCGGATACATATCTTAATTTATTGTCAATGTGATAAGATAATAAACAATGTTTTTGGTATACATGTAATAATTAAAAAAGATTAAATAAATTCACTGCCAATCACTTACTTTATCCTAAACTACATTTATTGCTATGCAAGTCTGCTTACTTAAAATTTCTCACACGTATTATCCGTAAAATACATAAAAATATGTTTGTATATGTTTAAATATTCTTCTGTTATAATAATATCGAGATCGTTTTGGTATAGAACTTAATATAATATTAAAAACATTTGGCATCTATATTTGTACTTGAGGCTGTATGGCAATGGCGTTAGTAGAACACAATCTTTTGGCATATAAACGAATAAGCACTTTTAACCTATAAGCATATATTGGACTCCATATTAAATTATTTTTTAGATCTAAGTATTTTTATAAAAACAGCTTATAATCTTAATTATGAACTTCATTCTAACGTGATTTAATTATTTCTCAATAGTTTGTTTAGAGAAAATTCATACTTCCAAAAACACTAAGGTATATATATTTATTTTTTCTTTTATATTACAGATTCTGTAACATCTTTAGACTTTAACAAATATCTGATAATATTGATATTACCGGTTAAGTCTTTTATTATATACTTAATGTATTCAGAAGAATAGGTGAAAAGACATTAATTTTAATAAAACATGTTTAAACCTAATCGTATTATCATAAGCCTACGTAGACCGACTGCGTCAGATAAATTATTATTATAAAAATACTGCTAAAATTCATTAATACTGCTAAGAATACTATCATTGACCAAATAAAATGGAATAATTCCTTACAAACTAATCGTTTCATTAAGGTTTTACGTTTCAACTATTTGTATATACATGAACAATTTATTTTCTTGGACATGAACACAATTATTTGGCATATCCCAAGAGGAAATACTACCATATTAAGGAGAAACGTTTCTTTTTGGAAACATTATTTACTGTTATCTTTTTCAAATTTATATCTTTAACTCCCTTTCGTGGTTTGAACAGATTTACCTGAAGGCCTACTTTAATCTTCTTGGTCAAAGCTCCCTGTGGGAAAACTGCTTGCACTTGAGGTACAACTGAACTGGATACCATGCCACCTGAAATTTAACAATTATTTGGATTAATTTTTTGTATTCCTATTGAAAGAAATAAATGTAACTGGTGTTAGAATCCATTAGTTTGTTCAAATGATTTCAGTATACACGATGGACTAATAAAATCTCTATATATCACAATGGTATGAATTTCATTAGGTGATTTTTCTATTTTGCAATAATAATTTGTTTGTTATTACCTTCAGGTCCTATGGCATGCACCTCCTGTCTGATGCGAGATATGACCGCGAAGTATTGAGGAAAGTCGTGTGTGAGGATGCGAGTCACCCTCGGAGCATCCCAACACTTTTCGTCTTCATTAGTTTCTAATAACATTTATAAGCTTTCATTAAAACCAAAGTTTCCTTTCATTTTATAAATATTTCCTTAGTATATCTACCTTCAATCTCTAGTGTCTCATGCAGTATATCCTGTACTACGTCATCAGTGGCATCGGCGTTGTGTTCACGCCAACTAGTTCCATTGTCCGAACGGAGAATCACGATTTCACGTTCTTTACCACGGAGTGATGCGTAGTGGGGTACTTCTAGGATTACTGGCCTGAGAGGAATATTAAAATTAATTGTAAGTAGTGCAGTTTATTTTATCTTGAAAGATATTAAGAAAAATTTCGAATATAAATTTACCAAAGTCTTGTGAATATTCTAAGAGAAACGAGAAAATCTTAATATGAAATGATCTTCATACCCTAAAAATTTTGCTGACACTGGACCCATTTCCAAAACTCTTGAAGCGAGTGCCTCTCCCTCCATCAGTGGTGGCATATGGTTGATCCGAGATGGTTTCAAATATCTGTAATTTATGAAAAATTCATCATTTTATATTTTTTGCACTTGTACTTCATTTCTTTCATCGGTTGATTACATATTTATTGATTTAAGTTTTTATATGATCTTATTATAATATTTGCGACGACTATGAGTTACAAAACGTTTTGTTGTGTTTATAATTTGAGTGAATATACATTTCAAATGAAACTGAAAATTCGGTTTTAATTACTTCACAAATTTCTCAATGTTTCGAATACTTTGCAGTAACCGTGATTGAGTGCAGATGAATTGAAAGTCTCTGTCAGGGAGTTAAGTCTTTTGTGATCACCTCCAAAGATGACTTGGAAAAATAATAAAATTGAATATCAAGACCCAAAAATAAATGGTTTTATATTACTGCTAAAACTCACCGGCAAGTAATTCTGGTTGGCTGTTGTGCAGATAAAGGGGGAACGATGACTCTCACTCCTCCACCACGACAACCGCGAAGCGCACCTCCACGTGCGTCTACCAGGAATGAAACCAGGAAACTAGAACATGAAAAGTACTTTTAAGGTATTGATACTACATACATATTTAAATGTCATATTAATGCTTATACCATAGGGAAGAGTTTGAAAAAATTCACACAAACTTGATACACTTACTTTTTCCATTGTAATTTTTTCCTGTTGATCACAATCCAGATTGCATGAGGAAAAATTTCATATTAATCGTGTAGACAAAAATTCTGAAATCAGTTTTGAGCAAGGATTAAAGAAACTGTTATTGAATTTTTAATCACGTTCTTAAAGAGTTCAAACAAATATATTTATGCCCATGTTGTGTATTAAAAAGAGAAACTGACTTGGGTAAAGTGGGATCCACATTGTAGCAGTAGCCTTCAGGAGCTGCGCTGTAGCGACTAACACTCTTCACCACCACTTCTTGAGTTTGGTATGGCATACCATTAACTGACCCTAAAAAAGAATATTGCAAGGTAAGGTTAGGGATATATCCACCAAAAAAACTTTCATTTGATTTGTGAAAAGAATTATAAGCGATAATAATAATGAACCAACCTTGGGATATCTCCATAATATTTTTGTGACTCATAGCGGACTCAGTACGTTCGTCCTTGGTGACATCTATTGGCAAAGAATCATCACCTAGAGACTTCATGTCGTCAGCGGTAAGATATCGATACGGCTGATCGTTGAGGATTGTATCTTCCCCTATAAAATTAATTTGATTCACAATCTATTTTTTAAGCAACTATTTCTAGAACCTAAATGGAGAACTATATATTATGTATTTTCATATATCCTACCTCCTTCCTCTTCTGAATCTGACATGAAAGTTTCCAACATGGTTTCTGGGGCGACCACTTTATACTTGTCTTGAGATGCGGGTGCTATTGAGGGTTCAGAGACTTCTTTTAGGGTCTCCATTACTGTGACATAGCCAAGCTTAGACGCTATGTCGAGAGGAGTTTGACCATTCTGTTTAAACAATAAAGTGTGAGATTAGATATAAAAAAAATATGTGATTTTTTAAAATAATGTTCCTGGACGTTGATTGAGAAGCTGGTTCACCTAATGATAAATTGCTAGGAATTAAAGGAGTATATAATGGAATAATAAGAATGGACTAATAGGGAAAGGGAAATGAGAAATTTGTATTATTTTCATCATCATTTAGAATTCATTAATGTGGTAATTCTTTAAATAGAATTATACTATCATTACATACCGTAGTAATAGCATTTGCATCAGCTTTATGCTCCAACAATATGTTGACGATATTAATGTGGCCTTGTTGAGCAGCGTGGTGTAGGGCAGTATATCTGAGAAAAGTAAAATATGGCTATACACATGAAATATCGTGGAATGAAAAGTCTTTTGGTATTAAAATTTATACCCATGAGTAGTCTCCGCTTTGACTGAAGCGCCATTCTCGAGTAAGTATCGCACCATGTTGGCTTGGCCATAATGACTCGCTATATGTAATGGTGTGTAACCGCCCTTAGTGCATATATCCACCTGAAAGACCAGACAAAATAATTCTTTTACTCCGAAGCATTAAAGGTTTACTTTATTCCTACAAGTGAAGAGAGGAAACAATGTAACAATTTCACTTTCGATTAAGCATTATTTTAATAGTCATATATAAGAAAATCCAAATAATACTGGCAGAATAACAAGATATAAGTTATAACACAATTTATTTTGGACAATGTCCATTTTTGACCTAGCGTGAACAAGCTGCTATCAAAAAAACAAGTTTATGAAAAAAAAATTTTTTTTAGCAGCCATTCTATTGTTGTTTGAGTGTACATTTGTATTTTATTGAAAAAATATTTTTAAAGTATCTTCATTGATTTGCTTTATTGATCCACGTTTTGTGTTACCAGCATCAATTAACGATTGCGCCAAATCGAATCATCTCGCAGTACCTAATACAACTATAAGTATTTAATTCAAAAAAATTAATTATAATATTTGTTTTTAATTAGTTTCATCATTTAAAACGTTTTATAAACTGAAATATGAAGAATGTTAAATTTAATCATATCTGTTTTCGATCGATTTTTTAATGATTTTTTTCTATTGCAACACTAATAAAACAAAAAAATACAAATTGACATTGATATGTCACAGACTGATTGTTTACATTCGCTTTGTTTACCTACATTGAGAGTGTTGATTTATTATGGATTTTCTTTCAACGATTGTTTTTTCATTATGGACTCCGACCTATCTTTTTTCAATGACCCCTGCACATCTACGGACCCCGAATTTCGCTCAAACAATGACCCTGGCTTTTGTATTATGGACTCCGATCAAGGCATAAACACTCACGTAATATGGACCCCAAAACTAGCTTCATCGCCAACCATGGCTTTAATATGGTCATTGAACAAAACCAAAGCGTGTGTCATGATAGTCTGAACACAGAAGAAGTGACTTCTTACCAATCCGTATCTCTGAGATGAATAAACTGTGGAACTGATTTGATAGAGCGAAGGCGACATAGTCTAGATCTTAATCAGGTTCAGTCTATTATAAGACAGTGGATAGCTCCTCGACGAGTAAGTGTCAATTCAATTAATTATTTTAATTACTCTTTTTTTAATAGATATGTATTGAATATGCTATTCCTATAATGCAAAATGAGGTTTTATTGTTTTATATAATTATAATCCTTATATGTATACTATTGTATTGTAATAAATGAAAAGATGTTTACTCCTAACACATTAGCTGACTTTGTTATCGAAAATAATTTAAATAGAAGGCGGGCAGATTTTCAACCTATAAATGTAAACATGGACAGTTTCATATTTCCAAGAATAGAATATAATGATCTTATATTAATTGCATGTTGAACATACCAACTAAAACAAGCTTGTTTGTATTATGGGCAGCACATAAGAGGCGATGGTTCCTATACTATAGAATAATGTAGAAATATAGCCAGCGACCTATTGGTTGACTACCCAATTCCTTGGGCCAATTGCAGATTATTGCGTGGAAAAATACAAAGCAGGCATGTAAGTCGAAACCGATGACCTTAAAAAGGTCGCTGGGTCTCACTGGATGCAGAAGGCAGAGGACCGAGTGTTATGGCGCATGTTGGGAGAGGCCTATGTCCAGCAGTGCCTGCAATATGCTAAATGATGATGATGATGATGTAAGTCGAAAAATATATTTTATATATATTATAAGAAAATAATCACAATGCTGAGGAAGCTATAAAAGAATATTATTGTAATTGCATGGTTAGCCGAATGACAGTGGGTTGCTGCCCTCATATAATGACTATTTTATGGTTTTTAAGTTGGGCAAGGTATCAGGAACACATTTCACCACCTGTCCAATTTCTTGAACACATATTAATAACATATGATGTCTCAGAATAAAAATAAATCATAAAAAATGTTGTTTTATTTCGTTTTAACCTGTTTTTCCTCACATGACAAAAATCTCTTTTTAAACATTTTGATACAAAATTAAGTTCATATTCTCATTATTACTAGTTAGTGCTTTTAAACTAATTATAAAAAATATGATAAAATGTCTGTTCACGTCAGGCCAAAGTCCCCATACTAAGTGGACAATCTCCTTTAAAGAAAATGACAAAGATTTGATGTTATTGTTAGCAAGGTAAATAAATAGAAGCGAACATTAATAACTGTTTTTTAAGTGAAATTTCTCAATCTAAGAGTTTCTAAAATATAGCGCATGTTACCTCAGCGCCATTCTTAAGCAACAGTTGTGCAACGGGCACTCGATCTTCTTGTGCCGCTAGATGAAGTGCTGCGAGTCCATTCTTAGACTGCTGACCAGCATCCGCTCCATGCTCCAACAACAAGGAGCACATCTCCGTGTGTCCCTTTAAAATTATTTAATTAATTATTAATACTATTAAGCATAAATATACATTTGTTACATACAGACTTAAACTACTACTAGATGGCGCTATACCTATAGCGCAGTACTTTAAGATACACTTGAAAATACCATTACTGTGTATAGCGCCATCTATCTGTGTAGGGAAAAGTGTTCTGTTAGATATGCGCCTTACAGCTTGTTATTACCTAAGAGTTTCACGAGATGACGCTAAAAATTCAGGGTTAAACTAGTGCAAAAAATATACTTACGTAATACATATATAACTTTTGCACTTTTATTTAATTCTTTTCTTAGGATCTAATCAGACATTTAAGATATAATTAATTTACTTATATACTACAAAGAAACTAGTTTAAAAATGTTATCAAACTGTATTTTTAACGGAAATTTAATGATATTTATTTTAAAAAGAATAAATTTCAGGTGCATTTAAAAGATAAAATACTTGTATTATACATATTTCAGTCTTTGAAAAATCAGATGACATTTCAAGATAAAATCATTGGTTCTAGATATGTATTATTTGAGAAGATCTGCTTATAGATTTATCGTACTATGTACTTTGATGAAAAAGTCTGCTCGTGTAGCCTTATAGTGTAATATATAACTAGTTAATACATATAGCTTAGCGTCAAACCTGTTGAGCAGCAAGATGTAAAGGTGTAAAGCCCGCCTTAGACTCAGCATTGGTCAGGGCTCCATATTCGAGCAATGTCGCTGCTGTTTCCATTTGATTCTTACGAGACGCAATATGAAGTGGTGTGTGTCCGTTTTTAGCAACCGCCTAAAAATATTTTAGATATGATAAATTTGTGATTATGATATAATCTTCTAGTATAAGATAGCCAGTAAATGATTAAAAAGAAAAAGTTTCGTCACTAAGTTTTTTCTCGGCATGATATTTTCTTTCAAACTGTCATGTTTCACATTAGTTGTGTACTTTTGTTCCTTATATAATATAATAAAGTTTTCTTTTATTATTTTAATAATAAATTAATGTGCCAAAATTTTCCGTATTTCTTGTTATAACTAAACAATAATTTTATACTAAACAACTTCATATACGAAGCTATAACAGTATATCATTCATAAATCTACATATTTTTTAAATTTCTTGAATGTAAGAATGGAAATTCTTCGTATATTTTAAGACTACGCCGCCTGGTACTGAATACTTTAAATAAAAGTAATTTAACAAATTAATATAATATAATTCTCAAACAAATTTTAAATTTTAGGCTAAGTCTAAGTAAAATACAACTTTAATGGATAGTTTCAGTAAATTCTGTTGTTCTTTATTAAAGAATAACTGCTATGGGTCTCTACGTCGTTAGAGTATAAGAATGTCAAGACATATAATGTAGAAAAATCTGAACTACTTATATTGAAAATTTATGAAAACGGTTTTTTGTACCTTTGCATCTGCTCCCTTCTCTAGTAGAGTATTAGCAACAGCCTGTTGGTCGTATTGCGCTGCCACATGCAAGGGTGTCATGCCGTTTTTGCCAGCTTGATCCGGTGAAGCTCCGTGAGCAAGCAAAAGATTCGCTACCTGGAAGAACACATAAAGAAAAGTTAAAGATTTATGACATCTACATTGATTTTGAGATATAGAAAAGTATAAGAAAAAGATTACCTTCAAGTTACCGTATTTCGCAGCAAGATGTAATGCTGTGAATCCTTTTTTGGTGGTAGCAGTTAAGGGAGCGTTGTGTTCAATCAACGCGGCTGCCACCTGAAAATATAATAAAAAATAAATAAAAAAACCTATATTTATAATCAAAAATATCCCACACTCAAATAATACAACTTACGTCATGATTATGCTGTTTAGCAGCAATGTGCAATGCGTTATAATGATCAGCAGTCATTGCTCTGACGTCTGCTCCATGCTGCAGCAACAGCACAGCAATGTCCACGTTGCCCAGACGAGATGCAATATGCAATGGAGTCTGTCTCTCGCGTGCCTTCGCTTCTACTGCTGCACCGTTGCGCAGCAGAATGCGAATTATGTCCGTCTAAGAAAAAAGACAATATACATATATGAAATAAAACTGACTTATAATATATCAAGAGTACATAAATGCTTCATTTCTTTTCATGGAACAGTTACATGGAACCACGTAATTTTACATATCGGTCAGGCTAACTGATGTTAAAAAAATATTGTATCTACTACTTTTTGATTTTGCCAAAGGTTTACTGAATATTAAAGATTTCTCAAATAATACACACCTGATTAGCCCTGGCAGCTAAATGCAAAGGTGTTTCTCCTCTAACTGTTGGTACATCAGGGTTAGCTTCATGCTGAAGAAGGTAGATTACAATATTCATGCAGCCCATGAAAGATGCTACATGAAGAGGAGTTAGTCCTGATTCAGTTGTTGCTTGGATACCTGTGAAAATAGATCGTTTATGAAAAGGACTACAAAAAACATGTACTGTATATGTTTGATTTTGTTTATTAGTTACATAATACTTACTTGCTCCATACTTTAAAAGAAGTTCAACAACCTTAATCCTATTCTTCTTGCAAGCAATGTGCAGAGGTGTGAAACCATTCAGAGCCCGTGCGTTTGCATCGGCATTCCTAAAAAACAATAATTATCACTTTAAATCTACGTTAAGTAATATTTGCCTACTTATGCATACGCTTTGATAGGTTTTTAAGAGATAAAGACACTATGAATTCCATATAAAGACTTATATCAAAATTCTTACCTATCCAGAAGTAGCTTAGCCACCTTCGCATGCCCACAATGAGCGGCTACATGCAGAGCAGTGAGATAATCCACTGTCACGTCATCAACAGGTGCTCGTCGTGAAAGCAAAACACGAGCAGCTTCTGAATGGTCACCCTGAGCAGCCATGTGAAGTGGTGCTAGACCATTCTATGGAGAGATATTACATTATTAGAATATAAAAGTCTTATTATTGTTTCAAGGTAAAAGTACGTTTAAATGAAATTAATATTTTCGGATGTACTACGTGTTATTTTATTATTTTTAAAACTACATATGTACTCTTGACATTTCGATTACTTTACAGCAACCGTGATCACGGGCTGGTACATTAGTGCTACAAAACATAGACTTTTTTTAATTTAAATGTTTAAGTTAAACTGCAAAAGGTAATATTTTAGATGGAACGTAATCTATATATATAAAAGAAAGTCGTGTTAGTGACTCCACTTATAACTCAAGAACGGCTGAACCGATTTAGGTGAAAATTTCCAGGGAGGTAGTTTAGAGCCCGGAAATTCCAATAGGATACTTTTTATCCCGTTCAACAGCATTCCCGTGGGACTTGACATGAAACGTCAGTCACTATAAAACGTGGAATAATGAAACACAGATATGTAATTTAGTATTTGCGGGATAAATTTAGAAAAACATTGTTTTTCACATGTTCAGTTATATTTTGCATGTTCACGAGTTTGGAAACCATCCGCTTTAAATGTGTTAACGTTAGACCAAAAAACAAAAAATGTGGTTTACAAAGGAGCACTTCAATGAAACGGATAATTTGCAGACACGTATAACGCTTCGATTCGGTATCTACTTTGGATTCACTTTCATTTACTTAGAAAAGTTCAACTAAATAACACTTCATTTTTGTAATCGAAATGAAATCATTACTGTTGTGAAATGAAATAAAAATTTTCCTTTTCAAATATAAAACAAAAAAATTCTTCATCTTTTAATCACCAAACGAAATGTTACATAAAACAAAGCCTTCTGGAGGCGAAACGGAGTTCGCCAGGTTTACTAGTATTTTCATAAACTGAACAGCGATAGAATTCATTTGAAATCTTTTCTTGTTATACTGAGTTATTAAAACTATTTGATCATTTTTCTGAGTTGATACATATATTGTGAAAAGTTACAAGAATGAACAGCGCATGTCTTAATGTTACTAATATTAAAATGTAGGATTTTCAGCTGATATATGTAGAATGTTCAAAATTATTAAGAAGCAATGTCATATAGCTCTAGTGAAGGAAAAAAATGTTTTGTTTTAGTAACTTGTTTTTATTTATACTTAATTTTCTTGTAAAACATTTTGATATAATAAGAAATCTATAAAATCTTGAATCGTAATGTAGTGGTTAGCTCTATAAAAAGAATATTCCTTTCCATAATTCTGTTACATTTAGCAATCAATCTTATTGCTATTGATCTTATTTTAAAGGAAACGTTGATGGATTAGGTTTGCATTACATTACTCGACATGCGCTAGACACGGTACAATATAAATCACATTAAAATATGCTTGCGACAAAAAAATATTAAATCCTATTTTTATGTATAGTTCTTCTTATTCTAAATGTATGACTAAGAAACTAATTTATTTTCAGTTATGTAAATTTGTTTGGTTTAAGAAATTCCTTGCATTTTCCTAAATTAAATCTCTTAAATATAATAATTACGTCCTTTCGATTAACATACCTTACTCTTGCTAGTTATGGGTGCACCTCTGTCTAATAACGCTTCAACGACTCTCTCGTGACCTGACCTAGCGGCACAGTGTAATGGTGTCAGGCCATCACGAGTCCTTGCTTCCACATTAGCGCCATTATCACAAAGCAGAGACACCATATTGTCTTTCCCTAATAAGCCATAAAACGGATTAAAAATTTACCTTTCATATTTGGAAACAACTTCAATAGCTCTCAGCTTAATAGCTTTTTTTACTGTTTCAATCATATTTCAGTATAAATTTTCATTAAACCTGCTCTATATATCTCGCTGAGACAAATTTACGTAAAAATTTTACATGGAACAAATGTAATAGTTCTCAGCTTCAGCTGAGAAAAACAATTCATTGTTTTCTTACTGTTTGAATCATATTTCAGTACAAATTTAAGTTAATTTTGTTCTATACATCTCGATTAGTGTTTTTTACGTAATTTTTACACGATCTAACTTAATTACTTACCCCATTTAGCGGCCACGTGCAGTGGACATATATTGTGTTTTGCGGCGCAATTGACGTCAGCGCCTTTAGCCAAAAGCAGCCGAGCAACGGACTCATTCCCATAGTGGGCGGCAATGTGGAGGGGGGTGAATCCGGATTTAGATGTCACGTCCGGATTATGTTCGTTCTGACGAAAATATATTACGCTGATCATATGTGGTATGTGTATTAAGCAATAACTGCTCATTCAGGCTTAACAGACATTTCCAAGCTTATACTACACCTGAATGCCATGTATACATAACATGTATAACTTATTTAACAAACATACTAATACAATTGAAGTCTTACATGTTACGTACGTTCTACATATGAAGAAAAAAAAAAGAACATCGCCGGGGCGACATGTATGGGTAAAATATCATATAAAGAGTGACGCCGCTGACTTCGCGGAACGAACACCAAGCCGTGTGAACCAGAAGATTCCTTACACTATACAAGAAATAGAATGTTATTGTCATCCTAATATCGGAGCAGTCATGTAGTCTGAGGTATAGGTTATAAGTTTTAACATGTAATTCGTATTTTAATATACATATAAGCATCTTTAGTAGTGTAAAAATTACTTAGATCCAATCATTTACAACGTACCTCAAGTAATAAATTTGCAGCTTTGACATCGTCTTTCTTAGCAGCTATATGAAGCGCTGGTAGACGAACTCGACCACGCGTATCTGCTTCAAGGAGTACAGCTACCACCTTCTCATGACCCTGCTGCATCGCAACAGCTAGGGGGGTGAAGCCGTCCTATTTATGATGAGAGAGGTCTTATTAGATTGGTCATATATTTAAATCTTAAATAATTAATAATAATTATATATTTCTTCATTTTTAAGAATATATGACAGTTTATTAGTTACGACAAATATAACATTACTGAGTACATAAAAAAACTATTAAAATAACCGTTTTTTGAGTGAATTTATGATAAGGGTAAGAAGTTTTTTGATAAAAAACTTTTAACTTATCTTTATATATATAATTCTTCTGTGAGTGTGTATGTCAGTGAACTTCTCTCAAACGATTGGACCGATTTTGATGAAATTTTTTGTGTGTGTTCAAGGGGATCTGGGAATGGTTTAGATTCACAATTTTGTCCGCTGGACAATGTTTTTTTAATTAATTTTTAATTTATTAGTAGTTATTGATACAAACGTTTTTTTTTGACATTAGATTTGACAACTAACTAATATGTTAATCATTCTGTCGCACTTCAAAACACGGAGATTTATGGCTTTAATAAGTAAACTCCAAAAATATAAATAAAAAAACGTAACCGATATTTCTTGATTATAGGGCGATACGAATTACGAAGTTCGCCGGGTCTTCTAGTATTTTTATAAATCTCACCAAAAACATGCCTGTTAAAAAGGGGGCCAAGTTCCAATCGGCTAATTGTTTGCCTAAAAAAGGGGTGAAATCCAATCTAATGCCAAGTTTAGATGCTCTTTGAAATCGATCATAATCATCTTCATCAACAGCATGATCCACTGGTAAACATTTGCCATTCCCAAGACTCGCCACCACACCCAGTCCTCTGCCTTCCACATCCAGCCACTACCCGCCACCTTATTCACGTCAACGGTCCATCTGGCCGAAATTCACTTTACCATACACCCAACTTAAAATATGGTATAGTTGTGAAAATACGTAGGTGCTTGGTTAAAAATATCTAAAATTATAATACTTCTCAATTTGAACTGGGCAGGTTTTTGTGCTGTACGTAACACTTAATTAATTGGATCATTAATTTATTATTTAGTTATATAATTATTTATATTTATATAATTTAAATATTATATAATTTAAATAATTAAATATATATATATATATATATATATATATATATCAGTTCTTAAGAAGCGCCCCACACTTTTTTCACAATAATATTAATTTAAAAATAAATTAACAAACAATAAATGGTATTTTTGTGAAAAAAAGCGTGATGAGCTTCATATATCACTTCTTGAGAAGCGCCCCACGCTTTTTTTCAATAATACCATTTATTGTTTATGTTAATCAATTTAAATTAAATTGATTTCCAAGGTTGTAAAGGTTAAATTAGTTTCCACGCGGTTTCTTTCATCATTGGAGCGTGTTTTTTAGTTTTTTTTAAACTATATTTATTTTTTATTTTTTAGTTTCATTTATCACCGATTGATAGATGTACTCATATTATTAATTATTAATATTTCATTATTTTGTATTTTATTGTGCTGAGCTGAGCGCCTATATAAAGGTTTTGATTACCTGTCAGTGAGTCAGTGCCAAAATTAGCTATTTTCACAGGGTCATATTTCAGGATCTACTGAAGCCTTATCTATAAAATTTGGCATACTGCTTAAAGACTAGTATATGATTACGTAGGTACAATTTTATCTCTGTACTTGCAATAGACACTGAGCTACAGGGGGTCAAAAGTGGGTCGAATTTATTAAAAATTCGATATTTAGAATTGAGGCAACTCACGCTTGACCGATTTCTTAAATTTCTTAATTTTTTGTTAATCTACATATAACACACGACCTGTGTACCAAATTTCATAATGCTAAAACAATGGGAAGTGGCCTAGAGGTTTTGATTACCTGTCAGTGAGTCAGTGCCAAAATTAGCTATTTTCACAGGGTCATATTTCAGGATCTACTGAAGCTTTATCTATGAAATTTGGCATACTGCTTTAGTACTAGTATATGATTACGAAGTTAAAATTTTATCTCTGTACTTGCAATAGGCACTGAGCTACAGGGGGGTCAAAAGTGGGTCGAAACGGTTCGTGTAAATATAGTGCACGGCATGCGCCGGCCTGTGGAACTTGGCCGGCGCACTACCGTGCGCTAAGATCTTTTTACGAATTTCAAAAGTAATGCTAGATTACTTAAGTTTTTTTTCATCGTAAAGGGAATTCAAATTAAGAACACAAGTATCGGAAATATATTAATTCTTACCTCAGTGGCCAAGCTTTGGTTGGCGCCGTTAGCGAGCAAGAATTTAACAACACCATCGTGGTTTTCTTGCGCCGCCATATATAATGGTGTAAAACCATTTTGGGATTGTATGTTGACCTGTAAAAATCGTATATGTAATTATGGATTATTATTACAATGTTATAGAAGTTCTTCTACCTGTCAATCTTCCAGCTTTAGCCAGGGTCTGCCTTTATGGTTGTGAATAGTTTTGGCTAATTGTTTTTACGACCGGCCGCCTGCCTGACATCAACCCTCTTTGGGAATGCATTAATTAGTGATGTATAAATACGCTCAGAAAGTACATATGACTCGGAAAAATCACATTGGTACTTGCCCGGGCAGGATCGAACCCGCGCCATCGTGTATAATGTCATTGAAGTAATTACCATCCAAATAAATCGTATAAGTATTACTTATTTGATTACTAGACTCTTTTAATAGTTCTGCATAAGAAAAGAAATTTCTGGAAATCATTATTTTATTATTATATTATATATTATTCATATTAATCCTGAGTTCAAAGGTATTATTTTTGTAAAAACAAAGTCCTTACACTTACATTGTTGGTTTTGTTCAATTGGTTACACCAGTATAAACAATTATTTCACTAACAAACTGACACAGAAGTTTATTGTAAAAAATAAGCCATTATAAAACACTGAATTAGCTATTGTTAGAAATAATTTGGACAGCACTTCCACTTAGATACTTATTGCTCCACAACTCGTAACCGTATAACCGAATCTAACACTTGTATCCTATTTATAGTATTCCAAAATAACATTAAGATGAGGGTAGGTTATATGTATATTGGGCGCTAAATCCCTTCATAAGAGTTTAGCGTTAAGCTTAGAATTGTGAAATAGCCAACACATTAAATCATTATAAATTATTATTACTAACACTATATTATTTTATATGAATAACAAAAAAATTAACATTCATTAGAAACATGAAAAAACCATGAAAGCTATAATGAACGCACTTATTGAGTTAAGTATAAAACAAATAAATTTAAAATGTTATGTTCTATTATTCAGTCTTCATAATAATGAGGGTAGTTTAAAAACGCATCTCCTTCCTGGCAATTTCCCAGCTATATCCAGGGTCTGCCTTACATGTTGTGAATAGTTTTGGCTAATAGTTTTTACGACCGGCCGCCTGCCTGACATCAACCCTCTTTTGGGAATCAGCATTAATCAGTGATGTCTATAGACTCTTAAAAACTACATATGACTCGGAAATATCACATTGGTACTTGCCAGGATCGAACCCGTGCCCTCGTGTATGAGAGGCGGGCCTTTTAACCACTAGGCCACCACTGACTAAGTTTAAAAACGTATGACGTGTGATAAAAATTTATTGTGTAGAATAGTCCGAAGGGTGATTATACCTAGAAGGAGTCTAAAAGAAAATACTTAAGAGTATGATGGTCATATAAGTGGCAGGGATAGTTTTTTAGCCAATGTTAGCTATACCAAGGCTTCCTAAATTCTTCCAGACGATCACAAGTAAAAAATTTAATTTTAATTAACAGTTCCAAAGAAATTTAAAACTATTTAGATTTTCGTGAAGGAACCTAAACTGCTGATATACTTTGAATAAATATGACAGTATGTGTCTTTGTGTTACTCCCTGTTTAAAATTCGTATATAACAAGCATGTACCAGTGAATACTTATTACATTGAATGACACTATTGCCATAAAATCATATAGGTATATACAGAAAAGGCGTATTACTTCGAGTGACATAAAAAAGTTAAATATACCCACTCTATGTTATAAATAAAAAGGTTCAATATTTGCAATAAATGTCTCACAAAAAACATTCAAAAAGCACTATATTTACAAAAGCTTGCAATATAATATTTATGAAAGCTATAGAAATCAAATGATATGGGTTTATTGACACCGACGTAATAATTTTGGACTCCTTTTACTTTCTATACTTTCAGTTAAAGAATGTTCATCCAATTAAAAGTCATTGATTTGCCAATTTGGTTACACTTTATGTATATTTCTTTTATGCAAATCAAATTTATCTTCAATAAATGCTGTTACATTAACTCTGAAGTTAATTAGGGCGTATTTGCACTTTATTTTCGGCTTTAATTGATTTTCGTATGTTTATATGAATTGTACAATATAAAATATTTTAACTAAATAATAATAAGATATCATAGCACATAACAGGTCCATGATATTTCACAAAAAATAGTATTGTATATCATTTCAACCTGTCAATTTCCCGGCTTTAGCCAAGGTCTGCCTTACATGTTGTAAATAGTTTTAGATAATTGTTTTTACGACCGGCCGCCTGCCTGACATCAACCCCTTTTTTGGAATGCATTAATCAGTGATGTCTAAATACTCTTAGAAAGTACATATGACTCGAAAAAATCATACTGGTACTTGCCAGGCTCGAACCCTCACCCTCATGCATGAGAGGCCGGCCTTTAAACCACTAGGCCACCACTGACTTACAGAAACAATATTGTATAATATATAAATTAAAATCATAGAACATGTTGCTCTTTTTTTAGATAGCTTAAACAGTGTTTAAAATTTCGGTTTGAATAACTCACTTTTATGGGTCTGTTTATGTTCGAACAAATTTTTGGGGCGGTAGCCTGTCTTACAAAAGGGTTAATCCTCTAAGCTTAAAAAGGGATGCACTCATTAATAACTCTAGAATGAGTTAGAACTTCGAACAATAGTTCTTAATTGTTAAATATCTATTAAAGAGGGGTTAAAAGATAGAACAGTAAGCATAAATAACAATAAATATATAAAGAATTTGAACCAATATCGCTAAATGAGATTGACAAATGAGAAAGAGACAATTCAAAGTTTCCTTGTTATTTGCAGAAAACTATTAATAATATTACGATTCTTCTAACTTATTTGCTTCATACAATTATTTTTCAGTCTATTAAATGCTTTTATTATTTACTGCTTGATAAAATTGATGTCTATCAAGTTCGAATAAGGAGTAAAAACCAATTTTAACTTAGAAAATACTAAAAATAGTAATATATTATGCACTTACTTGAGCTCCGTTCTGAACAAGCAACTTGACGACTGCCTCTTGACCAGCAAGCGAAGCAATATGCAGAGCAGTGTTGCCTTTCTTGGTAGCAGCATCGATTGCTGCACCACGTTGCAGCAGTTCACAGACGACCTCAACATGCCCATCCTTGGATGCTAAATGGATAGCATTCAAACCATTCTGTCCAAAAAATATACATACATACGTTAATACTGTACAAATAATTAAAATTATGCTGTCAGCTTTTATCACTTCATTAAAATAAGAGAGCGTTGAGTGTAAAATAAATTAAAATGCTTCTGAATGAACATAATCGTTTTAACGCATTGTTTTCAAATGTATGTCGAGTGAGTAAAAGAAACAGTACGGCTAAGTGTCATGCCGTTTAATATTATAAATGTAAAGTATTTTGAAAATCAGTTCAGTTAAATATATATAGCCTTACGCCTAATTTGGACATGGAAAAATATATATCTTTACAAAGTTTTAATTTAAATTTAATAAATTATTTGTTTAAATAAAATATGTTCAAAATTAATATTTTTCATAATGTAAATTAATTCTATACATCACATATTTTAATTATTATTTAAGTTTGAAATTATTGAATTATTATGTTAATACATGTAATGAAGCTGTATTTTTTAATATTTTATATAATATTTGTTAAACGTAAATCGTTTTTATAGAAAAATTGTCATTGATAAATAATACAATGTTTTTAAAATAAACATAATTGTTAAAAAAAATTGAAACGTGTTTATCACATATCCTTTGGACTATAAGTCATTTTGAATGTACGTTGGTTTACAAAAGCATTCCTAGATACCTTATGGCAAACAAAATTTACAGACCTTTGCCAAATAGTTTGGCTTTTGTCAAGCTCTGTATGCGCTATTTACATGAATGTAGCACATGATTTTGGCCATATTCCAAAATTTCCCTTACATATATCCAAGAGGGGTGATGGAATGGAGGGGAGAATGTGTCTCATAGTATATACAGGGTGACTGGTGAATTACTATCAATATTTAAGGAGCATACTCGGTACATGATTCTCATTCGAATTATGTAAAAAAATAGGTACTTAATTTTTGACCAAATTTCCTTATAAATAAATAAAGTGTAGACACGTTTCAAGTGTTCCAAGTGTGGACGCGTACGGTGGCGTGTTGATACAACACTACGCCGCCGCACGCGTGTGTGTGTGTGTGTGTGTGTATACCTAATCTGTAGGGTGTTCACACGATGCGTAATTAATTACATAACTTTTGGTTAACTTTACTTAGAAGTTTATTAATATTTATGTTATATTAATTTTTATTTTGTCATATATGATCGTCAAATATCACGTCCTCAAGTATCGATAGTAATTCACCTGTATATGTATATTACTATTTAATATATACTATATGTGTATAAAATTGGGTTATTGTTTGATGATCGACATGTGTGTCATATGATGCATATAGAAAGAGGTCTTTTTTAAATAATTTGATTCAGATACTTTAGATAATATTCTACAGATATTAATGTTTTGACACCACACATAAAAAGAGTAATAGGAAAGGCACTCCTTCTTGTCCTTGGTCCTAGGTCAATCTTAAAATTGGGTTTTTATTGTTCTTTACAACGTATATTCAGCAAAGGTATAAGCTAAAACCATAAGTATTAAAATTAAAAGGTAGGTAAAGTTTAAATCTTTGAAACAGAATTATAAATTACAAGGCATATTATTTAGATTTACTAAATTGTCATAATACAAGTACGTATTTGCGAATTAACTAACTGTTATTTATGTTATTAAAACTTATAACGAGGTATTTAAAAATAAATGCTACCTGGTGTCATGTGGTTAATGCAACAGTCGGCTTATTCTCAATTATTGGTCTTTAAATACTTCTTAAAATGTTCGAATATACTTTAAAATTCGTTATTGTTATGGATGCATATAATGATAGTACCTATATAATACTCATACATAATTATTAATAAATTGAAACTTTCATAATATATATGTACGTATGTACATATGTATGTTTTTGTATGCACCGTTTTAATCATTTTGTTAGTATGGTAAAATAGTTTCTAAAAGTAGTTTCTAGGAAGCGATAAAACTATCATTTATAAGACATCTGTTTTTGTACTCACGTATTATAAATTTGACGTATAATAAAGGATTTTTATGTTATTATAAATTGTACAGATTTTATATAATATGTCACGAAGAGGACAGTATTTGTAAATTGTAAGTATTATTCAATGTCTTTTTGGGTATTCTATGATTTAGTAATTTTAACTGGTAACTGTCATTTAATGCAATAGGATAAAGAGAAATGATAATATAATTGAAATATGTATACAATTTTTATTAAATCAAAACTAAATAAGGAACAAAATAGAGTCCTAATTATTTCAAATTATTGCTTTTGATACTTAAGTTTAATACTCATTTAGACATTGCTTTACATATGAAAACATTTTTGTCGTATAATATGAATGACAACTGAAGGTTATAATGTCAATGTACAAAGTCCCCTACTACTGAAAACTTCTCGATTGCTGCATTTTAACCCGCATTATTTACGTAACCACAAAACGCCTCTTCGTGACTATTTTGCGTGATTTCATGGCATGTGATAGAGTCATATAAAAAGCACCTTATTGCTATAATCATAAAACTCATTTACCAAAGCATTCTGGATTCATATTCTCATGTTTTTTTCAGTTATTATTGATAGATTAATATCGTATAAAACATATATTAGAATAAAGTTTTACAGAATTCAATGTATTGTTCTGTTACAGAAATATAGACATGTATTATTTAGGTAAGTTGTGTCTTTTAGTAAAACGTTAAGTATGACTTAAGTTATCGTCTCAAAAATTTGACACTAACTAATTTAATTATTAAATAACTGTATAATCTGTGAGAGCTCAAAACACTTTTAAATTAGTCACATTCATACATAAAACTATCATTTAATTTTAAAACCATTTTCTAAAAAAGAGCATGATAAAATAATATTTTGTTAAATTCTTTTTGATTCATAAATATAACCGCTTATTTTTCACATTATTATTAACATCAAAAAAATTATTAAAAACAAGTGTCATACATGATTATTGACTCTGGATTATACGCAATTCTCATAAGAATGACGTTTATTTCTTTGACAGAATTGTCTCAAATACTTATCATATTATATGGAGTAGACCAAATTTACTAGAATATTTAATACTTACGGCATTACTGACGTTGATGTCGACACCTTGCTCTAGAAGATTGATAATCTTCTCGATTTGCCCAGCACGAGCAGCTCGCAGAAATGCTGTGCTGGCGTCCGCCTGAGGGCAAAGAAGAATATATATACTTTACTTTTCTGGTGATGCTATAAAGGATATAAAATTTATTTATATTCTATCCAAATAACTTCTTAAATTTTATTCTACATGTGATTAAGTCATTGCATGTGGTTTAACTGTATGTAAAACTAAAAGTAAGCGTTTATTTTCCCTTACAACCTTTAGCTTTTCTGTTTTTTACTTCTATCACTCTAAGGGTTTAAAAAAATCAAGAGTAAATGTAGGTACTGATTTGATCATATAATCATGGTCTTTTGTAATAAGTATAAGTTACTCTATGTGTTCAGATAAAGTAAATATTTTAACTATAAATCATAGCACGTAATGTTGAATACATGTATGACATTACTACAAAATCATTATTTCATAAAACAATATGTGTATTATCGCTTATGTTAGTTTTACTGTAGGTAAAGAATCTAAAGGATTATTAAACCGGCAAGTCTTTCCAAACACGGTTCTTTGATATTACAACTTAATACCCCTTTCCTAAACGCTAGCTCTTTTTAAAACGCATTCACATACGTAAGACCAAAAAGGGGTTATATTAAATTATAAAGCCACATACATAATAAACATGAAAAGTTTCACTGAATATAATCCTTTGATTCGATAAATTCCGAGTAATTAAACCCAACCTTAAGCATAAAATAGAAAACATTTGTAATGAACTTCATTTAACATGAGCAAGGTTTAACCCTGAGCATTCTTTGGAACAAGTGACATGAAGTGTGCTATGGACAAAGTGTGAAGGGAACACTTATAGATGGAGTGTTGTAGGGTTACTACGAAGTACTCATTAAGTTTGAATACATAAATCGATAAATATCCTCTTGTAATTAACAGTGGAACACCATGTATATATAATAGAGAGTAAATAAGTCTGACAAAAAAAAAAATATTTAGATCTCAGACAATTTGTCATCCCTTCACGCTGTACCTATAAATACAGATCATGTCATTCAGACTGCGTACTAAGTGCGTGAAGGAAAATATACCTAATTTAGAAAATTATGCAATGAGAATAACAAAATATAGTGTAAATGTTGTGAAGGTTTTTTCACAGACATTCAAAAGTAAGTGAGGTTTTAAAAGTAATATAAAAGTTAAGTATAATGTCTACAGAAGACAAGCCAAACAATAAATTAGAAGACTTTTATAATTTTGTCTACTCATTGCCTGACACAGACCACACCACAGATACATTTAATGTTTACCCCTGTATTAGGGTGTACAAAGTCGATATTATAATTTTTCCACGCCGTTCTATTTGAATGATTAATGTTCAATTTGTGGGGTAACTAAAATTTGTGATAAAAATTACCCTACCATGGATTTGTTTAATAAAAAGCCAAAAATTATTTTGACACGAAATGCTATTTACGTATTCTCGATAAATCAATTTTGGTTGCATTTTTCAATTGTTGTTCCAGTTTTTTTTTTAAATATTGTAAGTGAAGATTTAAACAGTTCTCATTCGTTATGTTTATTTAAATATTAGATTAAATTTACCGCCGTTATACATATATATAACTAATAAAATTCTTCACTATGCTTCTACCAATAATTTTACTAACATAAATTATGTGACGCTTAAAGAAGTAACATCCTAACAAGTTAAAGTCAATTTATAACATCAGTATATAACATTTTCATTTCACTGTTTTTATAATACGTATACCTCGGGGGAGGCCGCGTGAGCAATTATTTCCACCCCTCAAGGGTTAGTCACCCTCGCTCGTAGGGGATGTGATTGCAATGCATAAGTTGTGTTTGGATAAAATCCTTATTTGTGTATAGTTTTACAGTCTTGTCCGTTTGTGGATAAAAGCTTATTCGATACGTTTTTTTGCTGTTTTCAGAAAATAATAAGAATAATATATTTTTTCACATTTTTCGACATGTGTGCGTTATTTAACTAGTCTTTGTACGTGGGCTTATAATTTCTTGTCAATTGATAGCAATTAATAATTCCTTTTGTATCCAATAGGGTCTGTAAACAAGTAAATTCAATATTAATGTAATAATATTTAAATATTAATAGAAAAATCTCTTACGAGAGAAAATATATCTTGCAATTTTATAAGGCCTAAGTTCATTAATATCTTTTTCTTATATTTCTACTTAGATCACTTTATCAGTCTTTTGATACTGCAATTCCAAAAAAATAAGCATGTCAATTTCCGACTAATATTAAATATGTTTCTGCGTAACAATTTCAAGTTAAAATATCAAAAATATTAACAAAATATCCACGCGAACCAAATTACCCGATTCATTGTCAGCCCCTTGATAGAATACAGCCGATAACAAATACGGGGTGATTTACTATAGGGCTCTTTAGTAGTGACATTTATTTTTCGGGTTCAATCGATTGTATACAATGGATATGTACAACTTTATTTAGATGTATCAAAGTATGATATAGAATGTAAACGCTAAGTGGAAATGAACAAATATTTTAATATAGCTTTGAAATGAGATACGTATTAGCTTATATCTACATTTATAGAAATTAAATATGTATTGACATTGGTACATCATTAAATATTGAGTTTTCTTTAAAAATGACCATATTACAATATACTTAAATAATATACGAGTATATGCTTATCTATATATCGGATTTCGATTGTATATATAGTTCTGTAATTTCTGCTTTGTGTTGTAACAAATATATATCTCAATTTTAATTGTATAATATATACAAATACATGAAACATTCTTATCTATAGAGTATGTTCAGCGGAACTTGTCGGTCTGCAAATACATTCAAGAATGTCGTTTATGCAGTATACATATATGTATGTCTTCCAAGCAATGTTACCACGTAGTTTGCATACACATTTTCTTGTACATTTATAATTAAATTCGTATTTATTCTAAAAAGTAAACCTTCAATTCTTAAACCGCGATATATTAAGAACATTAAGCAAGGAGCTTTTATTTTGGATGGGTAATAATTACTCGATTAGATACCTACTTGGAATCCGACATTTGACGTGATTCCAGTTAAATAACCTATCCGATCCTCTCTAATCTAATCCAATTCAATCCAATCCGATCGAACTCATACAGGAATGTAGTTAAAATGTTGGAATATACATGAAATGGAATGTAATGTATCTTGGAAATACATGAAGGATTTTAATCAAATGTTGTACTTGTATATAATAAAATGATATACATTTTATTAGGCTCTTTTAAAACGTAAAAGTCTATAGGATTCCTTGTTTTGTTTTACTAATAGGTATAGCTTTTATATTTAAAGTTAATGCAGTATGTATTAATTAAGTTGATTAGAAGTTTCAAACTTATGTTAACTTATTAACTATCAAATTGCTTTCATCAAAATCTTATCAAGATGACAACAAAATAATATAAAGCTAGATAGAATAAATAAAAATGATATTAACAAAGTGCAAAGAAAGGAATTATACAGGGTGACTGGTGAATTACTATCGATATTTGAGGACGTGATATTTGACGATCATATATGACAAAATAAAAATTAATATAACATAAATATTAATAAACTTCTAAGTAAAGTTAACCAAAAGTTGTGTAATTAATTACGCATCGTATGAACACCCTACAGATTAGGTATACACACACACTCACACAGACGCGGCGGCGGCATAGTGTTGTATCAGCACGCCGCCGCACGCGTCCACACTTGGAACACTTGGAACGTGTACACACTTTATTTATTTATACGGAATTTTTGACAAAAATTAAGTACCTATTTTTTTTTACATAATTCGAATGAGAATCATGTACCGAGTATTCTCCTTAAATATTGATAGTAATTCACCAGTCACCCTGTATAGTTTACTTCTCAGAAGAATCAATATTGTTTTAAATATTCTAATTATAGGCCTAAACAAAGCAATAAAGTTGTAAAAACAACTAAAAAGCCTTCAAATGCTTTATTTGTGACAGATTCATGACAGTCTGAGAGCCAGACGAACCATTGTATACAACAATGATACTGAATTCATTTGTGTTTTTAAAAAACTGACAGTTTTAATTAAATTTTTTTTAGCGAATAAAGAACCGAGGTCAATGAACTTTGGTGTGCCGAATTATTTTTGCAGCACATATTGTATGTTGCCGAAATTTATGTACTAACACTTTTAATGCTATTAAAGAGATATTATTATGAAATGAAGATGACGCGTATATTTTTAAAACAATAATTTGTTTCAGTTCTATTAGTTAGGTCCAAAAATATGAATATTTTAGGTTCAGAAAAAATACGTTATACCTACACCACAGATAACCTACTATGGTTCAAGGATGTATATACAAGCTACAGACAAGTCATAAATGCAAGGGAGGGTCTCGCTAACTCAACAAGCTGTCTGGAAGCCAGACGAGCTATACCATATGTGAATAGCTTGAATTGCAAGACATTGAAGTCTACCGACAAAGAGCTTGGATGCTGCTAGTTTTGAGTGAAAAGAGGCAGAAAATAATGTATAATCTTTGTTTTTAACAAAAGAAATGTTAAAAACATAGAGATTAAAAAGTAAAGGTGCTTTATTATAAGTAAAAAAGATGTATACTATACAACTACCTATGTATAACATAAATTGTCTTATAATATTTTTCTGTCAGCTTCTTTGTGATAGATAAATAGATTACATTTAGTTTTAACTTAAACCAAATTAGAATATTCGTATAAATAAATGAAAGTCTTTACACTTATAAATAATTAAAAACAGTTTACTATAAATTTATTCTAATAATTCCTGTTACAGAAACATTTTAAACGTGAATGATACCAGATGAAAGCCACTTTATAATTTATAATAATAACAAATGATTTAGTAATGAAATATTTAACCGAAATGAAATAACGTTAAACGTCCATAATTAAAACACTCAAAGAGATTTTCATAAAACCTCGCAAGTTATTAAGCTCTGAATTTCGCGTTTACGAGAGTCTTTTAATCTAATTGGCAACGTGTGAATTTATCAATTCTGCTGGAGAGAGAAACATATTATTGTTATTTTTATTCATTTACTAAAACGTATTTTTTTGTATTATACATATGTATATGTATAATACAAAAAAAATAACCAACCCGTCTTGAGCAAGCGTGGTGATTAATGCTCAAACCTTCTCCATGTGAGAAAGTGGACTTGCTCAGCAGTGGGCGTCTGATAGGCTGACGATGATGATATGTGTGGAAATGTAATTATCCTAATTTAATAAAACAATAATATAAACCAGTTTATCACAAATCAATCTGTTATAAAATTCGCTGTAATAGGCGGACGTATTATGTTTTTCAGAAAATATATAGAACATTTTATTTCGTATCTTCTTCATAGTACGTGACATTTCAGAATACATTTTGCACGTGTTTCACGTAGGTATAGAGGCCAAAGGTAGGATAAAAAAATAAATTACATTTTATTTCGACAGACAGACACTTCAGTTAATTTAATATGTATTAATATAAAATACTATTTTCTTCTCTCGACTTCGTCTGCATTCGTTTCAGAATTAAATATGTGTAACTAGCAGGGCGAACTCTGTTCTTTCTTAAAGGTAGTAGATAAGAAGGTTTAAGATTTTATCAACTTATTATTTTCGTAAGGATGAAAAGTATCCTATGTCCGTCTCTTGGTTCTAAGCTATCTCCACCAAATGTAAGCTAAATTCATACAGGCTTCCTAGAGTTATAAATAGTGGAACTAATATAACTTTATATATATACATATGTAGGCGACCTCACAGATTACAAAGCTAAACAATGTTGAATTCTATGGCTGTGCATTATGCGGATGCTGGGAAATAACAAGGAAATTGTCTCGTTGATGGAATGTGGATAGACGTTGTTGTAACAAAATATATAAAACAAGTTTTTGCTACCAGCTTCGTCTGCAAAATTTTGTTATTTATTAAGCATCACAAGAGTATTATCGGTTTAAGTGATAATAACTCAAAGAGATTATATTAATTACTATCGTCGGTATATTATGAACCATTATATTTCATATGGTAGGTACAAATATATAATATATTACATTAGTTGGATGTCATCACAAATGGTTCAGCTGTATGAAGAAATATATGTATATACTCGTATATATATATCTTCTTCTTCTACATGGCAATTTCCCAGCTTTAGCCAGGGTCAATATATATATTGTAAAACAATATTTTTTTTCAAATACGTTGTTTGGTATTTTACTAAAACAAAACACATCTAAAACACTTGTCTGTACAAATAGTAAGTCTATTTGTGGTATTTATTGATCGTGAAACTATTTTGAACAGCTCAGACCAGTACTGAATGCCATATTTGTTTGGATAGACAATATTTAGAACAACACGACCACTCAGAACTCACTCACTCAAACAAACACTACAGTTTATTGTGAACTAGGAAAACATAAACGCAAAATACAGTTTACTTTATTGCTCGCTACGTGCAATAAAATTACTATTTATTTTAATTTAACACGTTAAATTTTGTGTTTTCTGTGCATATAGTAATTTTGGTACGAAATGTTTAAGTTTAATTTCATATAATGTAATTACAAAGCTATTTACACATACTTTTTCTTTAAGTTGTTTTAATTTTACTGGTTCTAGTAAATACTTTCAATTATTTTCTGTTATACTATAATTTTTTATAGCAGTCACGATTCCTAGTATTACCGTTTAATAGCATGTCATTATATAATTATCATATTTTTTCGATCCGCAATTTATTTTGGGGCTGGATAAATTATTATGAAATATGTCTACAGTAATTTATTTATAGTCTAAGTTCATTTTAGCATAATAATGAATGTTTTTTTATGAATATTTAAATTCGTCTACGTTGGGGAAGTTTTCTTAATTAATTAATTTTATCAAAGCTCAAAAGGCGTAAATAGAATCAATTAGCTCATGTAAAATAAAAGGTTCTTTAAGAAAAACTTATATTGGAACGAAATTAAATTTTTCGAATACGGCACATTTTATTATTTTATTTGTATATGTACCCAAACTATTTTTCAGCAATTATGACCACGGGCAGACGAGATGTAAATTTCTGTCAGTTAATCTTGTTATTTATCATCTACCACCAATGATTTTTTTAATTTTCTCTCCTATTACGCCAAATCGGACTTGAGGTCTTCTAGTGTGACCTGGGATATGGGAATTCATATTTTTGATGAAGAGCTTCCAGGTGTTAGATAATTGCAAGCCATCTATTCTATTGAAATTAAAATCTTTTTCAGTTTGAGGTATGTACCTCTCTTTAAAACTCCTCACACTTCAATCCACAGAACTTTGCTTCGGGTGTGAAAAGAAAACGAATTTTCGTATATATATATATATATATATATATATATTATAATGTAAAAAGTCCTAGTATTCGAACAACTTAGTTTTATTTAAGTATTTACGGATGAATCTTACCCATAATCTTATATTTGTATCAAGTAATTAATATGTTTAATAAATAAAATAATATGTTTCAATATAAAAAACACTTACATTACAGAAATCACGGAAAGAAAATCTGTAGTTCTTTATATCGTCAAGTTCATGTCTACTTTCTAAGTTGTAAGTTGGAACTTAATAACTCATTCATTTTCAAGATTTCCGAACACACCTATTCAATTCTAGAGCTAGCCTTGTTCATCTTGAAGTTATCCTTCTCATCAAAGCTTTAAAAAGAGACTCAAGCATCGAGCCACTAGCGGTACCTTAACCTTGGTGCAAAACAACCTTTAAGCTACAATTTCACTTTTCGTGTATAACCGCCCTTAATATTTGTATTAAGATACAACACGCGATGTATTAATAAAAAATTCTGTAATATAATTAACCTATTACAATATTAAATAGAATTTTGATATCGATTCTCTTTGAAGTATTTAATAAAGAATTGATTTTTATATGCATTTTGTCAAACAACTTTATACAAGTTCTCAAAAAAGACTGACTTTATGTCTTGGAATTAAATGATGAAGATTGTTTTTCAAAACATCTGTGAAAAATATAAGATGTAGGGAGACAAAAGATCGAATTACAAACCGTTCTTGGTAGTTATTTAACACGCAGTTTCTCAGATTAAATAGTTTAGGTTACCTGTTAATATAGCACAAATTATAACAAGAAGAAATAAAAAATAATGCAATAAAAAGCCAATACTTAAATATACGAAAAAGAAATGAATTTTTATTACGTGGGGTAAAGCCCTAGGTAACTGTAACATTTTACGACTTCTTTTACCCCCTGAATAGATAAGTTATATATTATACTTCTTATTTATTACTGGATCCCTAGTACTTAAATTTAAGATGAATTCTGATAGAATTATTTTGGAAAGCAATCTCTGTATGTCCTCAATATTATGACCATGAAAATGCCACTCCTATGCCATTACCGTGCCCCAATGAACTCATTATGTCCAAATTAATTATCATTTTTGTTGGTTTTACCCTAATATGTTAGATGAGGTCATACCTCGAACGGCGATTATTATTTTTTTCAACTTTAAGCAGAATTAATTTATATAAAACTGGTTTTCGGAATCAATTCTTCTATTTTATTTTGCTGCCTTTTTTCCGACGCATTGTCTCGTTTCAAGTCACCAATAAAACGAGAAGATATGGTCTTAGAATGTACAATAATAAAATATTTGAAGTAAATCCGTAAGATACTATTACAAAATTTTTTGTAAGTAATATAATATATTTATTTTATTTCTATACAAAAGAAATTGAAGAGAAAGAAAGGGTAAAAGGCTTAAATATCTGAAGTATCCGGTAACAAGAGCGTGGAAATCTAGGGAAAGCTAGGAAGCCTTATAAAACAGGACAAAGTCAAGGTTAAATAATCCTTTTGTTGATTTCATAAATATTTTGTTTAGTAATATTATATATGTAATAAATGTTTTATTTACTTTATATCTGCAATCAGAATCAATGTAACTTCTAATCCATTTATATAGAAATAACATTGGTTCAGCGATTAATTAGATCACTCTTGGATGTCGGTTACAGATCCCATAGCAGACAGATAGGAAATTGAATTATCGATTCCTTACAGCGGCGTATTGAAATAATAGATATATTATTATATATACATATAGATACAATTACTTAATATTAAGGTTAAAATATATGGAAAATATTATAATGTTTTATATAACAAAAATAACTAATATGTCTTGAATAAAAAAATAAAGTTTTGAAAGCATTATATGTATTTTATTTATATAAAAAATACATATATTTTTACACTACAACAAAAATAGAACAATGAAGGCCTTTGTTCTCTACAGAAAATTTGTAAATAATAAAAATAGCCGCAATGAATTTATAATAAAATAAAATATTACTAATTATTTCAGTTTGAAATCAACTTTAGTTATGTAAGCTGTATTGTCCTTGACATGGTATGTCATTGCGGCAAAAAGGATAATGTAATACCTGGTTCGGCGTCGCCGTTTCTGTAGTCATGATGGTGGAAGTCAGGTTATTCTTCTATCATCAGCAATCTTCTAACTCCACCAGACACCAAGGCGTTCTGCCTGTCTACAAGCCAGTGGACATCGCTGACGAATTATCGATTTTCGCGTTTCCTTACACGACAAACTGTCACGTACCGAACTCTCAGTTAAAATGTCCTATATATCATTACCCCGGAAACGTTTAAATCAAAAACAGAAATACTAATAATTGAACACGGATCAAAATTCTGCTAAACGCTAGCGTTCCGCCATTTTCCTTAATCCGGGTTCTTCGCACAGTTTTTGACTTATCCTAAATAGAAAACACTAAACGACAATTAAAGCTGATATTATACAGACACGGAATATGAAGGACATTTTACATATATTTAATTAAAATTCGAGGACTTCCGAAGTTGTTGCGCTTGGGACCTCACCGCGGGGGTGTAAAAGAATTTTGCCGGTTTTGCTAGACAAGTGAGTTAGTTGGGTGGGGTGGGTTATTGCGCCTGCGCGGGGTTATTTTGTCGTGTGCGTGGTTTGACTGTATGCTATACGCTTCAACCATTATATATTGATCTTCCCGCTTCCCTCGTCTCCGGCTGTTCTTGTTGGTAACGGGGTGAACTTGCTGGGTAGCGTGGTTCTGCTTATGTTGGTTTTATTCACAAATACAATCGATAATGCAGACCTGTAAGGATATATCAGACTCGGTGTTGGACGAACAAAGCGATGGCCGGAGATTCGCAAAGCGTCCAATAATTATCATATATACGCTTATAAATATTCTATTCTCATGATTATATTTCAGTACCTTTTACTATAGAGTCCTTTCCTAATATCTATTAAAATACGAGGGTTCAAAAATATAAGGAACACTGATTCTCTACAAAGCTTAATTTAAAACAAAATTAACACAAAAAATAATTTTCTTACCTGCAACATTTTTAAATCGAAATATAATATGTAACGCTTCAAATTAAATGTACTTAACTTCAATTTGATTCTTTCATATTAGAACATTATTTTTTATGAAAGTAATTTCAAGTTTTCTATGTAAATGTATCCGTAGATGACTATAATATAGAGGTTTAAATAAGAATTTATTTAAAAGTCAAATTTTGTAAAAGGATATGACGTATGTAAATTTCAAACAACGAGATTTGTCTAAGGAATTTTTTAATAATGAAAAAAGTGTGAACGATAATACTTTTTTTGTTTTTTATTCTATGTACATACATATGTAATTAATTTTATTTAAACAAAAATTAGTGATGTTATGTACTGTAATAAAAAGGGTTATTCAAAGCTTTTAGCAATGCAAATATTTATCCTAATAACCGTAAAACAGATTTAACAAAGATAACATCTAATGAAAATGGCTTTAATATATTTTTTCAATTACACAAATCCTCTGAATTTCATTAAATTTACATTTTTATGCTTTATGTGGCCTAAATGGAAATGGTTAAATTTAACCAAGTGTATATAATAAGTTGTAAGTGAATTGGTTTCCTAATACACTAATAATATTTAATAAACAAGTGAAAGAAAACCTAAATAATTAATTCTAATATAAGATTAATAATTACGAACATGATAAAAGAAATCTGCTAAGATTTAGTAAGTGTTCATAACTTATTTTATTTGAGAATATAATTGCTTTGACGATTGTGAAATTTAATACTACTCCATTCCTTCCTACGAGTATTTATTTCTATTTCAATCATAATAAAAACAGAATTAGAATAAGAAAATGGAAATAAATAACCAATATTCTAAAATAAAATCTATTTTAAATAATAATATGTTTTATATTTATCACAAACTAATCTGAGAAAGTAATTGCTATTTAGGATTTGCTTCTTAATAGTATTTTGGGATGTTTAAACAAATTAAAACTTTACTTCATTGAATTAAGATTGAAATTCGGTAGCATTTGAATTCTCACTTCAATCTAACCTGACCTTTCTATGACTGTGTAAGTTCGGTTCAATTTTAGAAATGTCAATTTAGACGACACAAATAAAAGTACCTTTAGCTTTCCGGCGGCTGGAGTTTAGACTCTAATTATAGGTCCAGAATTAAGAATATCTATTCGCACATCAAAACATAGTGTATTAATAATGTAATATTTAGTAAAAACTTAAATTTTATTAGTACAAATTGCCTAACAATAGCCTTGCAAAAATCCATTTAAAACTTCGTTTATCTGTTTACTCTACTTTCACTGTATAAACATAATAAGCCACTACAATTTAAAAGCTATTCAATAAATAGCTTGGAAACAAAAGAAGAAAGCATGGCTTAGGCAAGCTAATCACAAGAAGCTTCAACAAGCTACGTTTTAAACGGACCACTCAACTTCCATGCCTGTAATTATACGCTTTGTATCTTTGTGTTCATTTATTTTTATATAAAATGTTGAATATTATTTAATTCTTCTACAGTTGAACTTTAACTTAAAAAGAAATAAGTCTCTCTTAAATGGTGTATATCTAAAGTAATTTATCATTATTCATTAGTCTTCTAGAAAACTAATGGTAGCTGCAGTAGTTGGATAATTAAGTTCTTCTAATTAAAAAAATTAGTTAAGATGTATTATTATTTAAGATAAGCATAAAAAGAATTGTTAGTTAAATGCAATCTATAATCTATTTTAATAACCATCTTAGTGTGTCTAATATAATAAACATCCCTACTAATATTATAAATGCGAAAGTAACTCTGCCTGTTACGCTTTCACGCCTAAACCACTGAACTGGTTTTAATGAAATTTAGTACAGAGATAGAGTTGACATTGAGAAAGAACATAGGATGGTTTTTTTCCCAGACTTATGAAAGGTTCTCTTGGAAACGCGATATAACCGAACTCCAGGCGGGCGAAGCTGCGGGCGGAAAGCTAGTATTTATTGTAAGTATTAATGATTATAAACATATTTGTAACAAAAATTATTTCTATTTTGACCGTAATGTTCGGAATATCTTTTACTAAGTGCACTTTTCATTATGTGCAGTTTTTATTCGTAAAATAATTTCTTTTAATCTCCTATAAAGAGTATGTAACTATGTACTTGTAATGTCGTTACACTCCCTTAAATACGAGTAGTGTAATGATACATAAATCATAGGCACATGTGAGTTCTTGGTTACTGGTTTACTGTTTCTACCTTGGATTATTATTTACCGTTTAACATTTTAAACTATTTTCTTAAAGGCATATAAGTTGTCTTTATAACAAATAACTAATAAGTATCGTAAAGATTCGAGTATATTCTGGTTAACTACAGTTAAATAGAGTAGATTGTATTTTTAATCAGTAATTTTAGGCTGTATTTAAAAAATATAACTTTATTATTCACTTATGAGACTTATATGGATAGACTTTTTAGCTTTCATTTTTGTATATTTTTGAAAAGCCACTTAGTAACCGATAGCTTTATACTCAAAACCTTTTTAAAATCTCAAATTTGAGGATCAAATGCAGCTCACGGAGTTATTTTTGTTTTATATTATTTATTTTATATTGTACTTTGTTTTATTTTACTTTATTTATAATTCAATTATTATAAGATCACTAATAATAACATACCAAGTAATTAAAAGATTGGCAAGTATTCAAATAAATTGTTTAAAATAAATATGTCAAAACAAAATCTCAGCTGGTGCTGTTATATGAATAAGTCGTTTTAAAATCTGATACTATATTTTCCTTTTGTATACTTATATAGAAGATGAAATGAAAATTTTGAATTGCTTTTCAAGAGAATTGCATGAAAGAATGAACTTTGAGAGGTTTATATTGAGAAGTACACACGGCTATTTTGTATTAGATATTAATTTATATGAACTAAACATTACACACACATATATAAATTCATCTATAAAGATTCTTCAGTGTGTAATGTCGTTAAATATCAAACGTAATGACATTTCTTTTAAATTTGTAATAATTATAAAATCATGAAACAATATCAACAAATTGGTATTATCTAGTTATGATAAACATGCAATAATTATTAACAAATCTCTCTTTTCTTTGTAAGGATCCCTGTATTCGTCTTTGTTACTTTCAAATGCCAACTATCAATTAAGTTCATTTCGAACCATATAAATATGTATATATCTTACAGTAATAAATTATCTTGACTAAATAATTCATGTTCAACGCTTTCTTCGGTAATGATTAAATAGTGAAGAAAAAGAATGCTTTCGATTTTTTAATAAAAATAAAAAATGGAAGATTTTTTTTATTCCATCCAATCCAATTTCTAACCAATCACGACAAATTATTTTGAAAACCTTCAATGATTTAAAATTCTGTTAATATTATACTTAATTGAAGTATCAGTTTGTATTGAGAAAAACAAGCAACAATACGACGCTTTTTCAAGGACCGAAGTTTTTCTTAAGTAACGTTTTGTTCCCCGTAGTTTATATAGTAAAGAAACCCAGAACTTAATTTAGTTTCATAGCAGAACGGCAATTATACCTTAGTTTGAAAAACGTAAAACAAAATCACATTGTACATGATAAATATTGTTCATTTACTTGTTTTAATTGTCATTCGATCCTTGACTTAAATGCTGTCAAGAAAGTAATTAACACTAAACTAATATAGTGTTTGTAGATCCATCATTTTGAAACAGAGTATCGCATTGCAAAACTAACAAAAGATATTATATTTTACTTTGACTAAATAAGTAAATTATATCATAAACTTACTTCTATTTTGTCTACTCTACTTATTTATTGCTCTTAATATATATTTATATATTGTCGTGTGTTTTTCTCAGTAATAAAGCGTACCTATTTAATTTTAAACAGGATTCAAGATGGATGGATGAATGAGAATATTATCATTGGATGATTTTTTTACGCTGAATATATGTAAATAAAAAAAAATAACCGTAGTTGAATTAAATGGATTATTTGTGATGATTATTTTAGTCATTTATATAAATAACTCCTTATTCCAATCGATGGTATGTGGAAATAAAGTTATAGGTG